ATGGTGATGTGGGAACTTTGAACTTCATAAAGAGGTGACCCAGCAGCTTGGGGTGCTCTATGCTCTTGGATAGTGGGGGTAGGAGGAGCCAGGATGGGTGGAGCAGGAGGCACCAGGGATGGTATAGGAGCTGGCTGCTTCAGCAGCCCGGATGGTGGTATAGGAACAGGAGGAGAGGGAGGTGGAGGCAGAGGTGGTGGCAGAAGTGGCCAGGGTGCTCCTGGCAAGGCCAGAAGCAGATTCCAAGTTTGTACTAACTTTCTTTTTACTTTATCTCCTGTCTCTCCCTCTTGCAAAACAGGCTTTTTCTCTGGTTGCTTTTCAGCCCTCTAGGGCTGGGGAGGTGGGGGAGCAGACAGTGTGGATTGGGCATTGGTTTTGGTGCTTGTATCTGTTGGGGTGGTTTTAGGATTTTCAGTGTTTGTCTGTCTCCCCCCTCCCCATATCCTCATTATTTTGTCTCTTGGGAAGGGGGTCATTATTTTGACTACTTGACTTATCTCTTTGGACCATCAGTTGGGTTCCTTCCCCTGAAGCATCTTTATTATGGAGTAGTAGAAAAGCCTGAACGTAAGGAATTTTATCTCAGATCATGTGAACCTGAAAAACATTTGAGCCATTTTTATCTTTGAGTTTTAGAATGCCCAATTTCTACAAGCTCTTGCCTTTAATCTAATTAAATAGAGCTCCTTTACAAATTAATTTTAGCACTACCATCTGGAGGTAGAGAAAATATCTCATTTGTAGCACATATGGGCACATATACAAATGAGATGCAGATAAAATTTAACCTCTGTTTCAGTAATATTTGTGGAGAGGATATTAAAAAGCCACTTTGCAAATATCTTCCTTTTATTAAAGCAAATATGAATGCAAAATAGCATTATAACTTATGGATCTTTTATTTATTTTTTTTAAAGACTTTATTTATTTATTCATGAGAGACACACAGAGAGAGAGGCAGAGACAGAAGCAGGCCCCCTGCAAGGAGACTGATGTGGGATTCTATCCCAGATCCTGGGATCATGCCCTGAGCTGGAGGCAGACGCTCAACAGCTGAGCCACTCAGGTGTCCCGTAATTTATGGATCTTTTAAATAGTTATTTTCTATTTCCAATTAGAACATGGTCAGTTTTGTCCACAGATAGCAACAAACAAACCAAATGAAGACCAGAGGGGGAAAAGAATCCCATAAAAATTCCCAAAAGAAGCCCAGAATACCTTTGTGAGCATTGGTTCCTCCGCAAAAGCCAGGTGTTTCACTGATTAAACCAAACAGTTTTCTAGTTTCTGGCTGCTTAGTCCTACAGCTGGCTTTCTTTAATTGTATACACAAGAAAACTAATCCAGACATGTAAAAAAAAAAACCCATTTGGGATCTGAGACTCAGGTTATCCTTAAATTTTCCCATTAGTAAGCACTTGCAAGTATATGCTCTACAGGTATTATACATAGAACCTGCCAGAGTTTCCTGTAGGTGGTTGTTGGTTTTCTGGGGGGGCTATTCAGCTTTTGAAGCCTGGTTCCTCATTCCTTTTTATTTCAGTTTTATTTTTAGAATAAGGTTTGAATAAGATCTAAAGATACTAAGTGTGGTGGATCAAGAGGGCGCTGCTTGTGAGTTACTTTCAAAAGGCTGTGATACACCTGCCGATGCATCTTAGATTCTCTCAGTGAAGCCTAAGACCATTGAAGGGGCTGGGACACTTGGATGACCAATCTTTATGTGTACGTCCCTAGACGAGCCAGTCATTAAGTACCTTATGAGATGGGACATTCCTGTGGGACCCCTACAAGTCTTGAAGAGCATTCTCTGACACTTCTGCTAGGCTTTTGGTCACTAGAAAGCCTCATTTAGCCAGAAGGAGCAAATATCCCTGCTCTTCAAGCTGAATGACTCAATTTTTCATATTTCTAGCAAGAAAATTTACTCAAGCCTTATATTAATAGTATACCCATTAGTATAATGCCAAATTAAAACAACCAACCCATCAACTCCAATCCCTCTAGGTTATTCCCACCTAGGGAACATTCCCTGTAACCCTCAACAGCTTGAATAAAAGGACCACCAGCTTAAATTAAGAAGGTCTATACATTAGGAGATCTCACCTGATACTTCTGTTGAGGTGCTGAGAAATCAGAGAGGCACAAAGGGCCTGTGCTGGTACCCAGGGTTGAGTTCCAGAGGACCCCCAGGTAATCTCACGAGAGTTGCTGTCCACCAAGAAATGTCAATGCAAAATGAACAAACCTTTAAAAAAATTTTAAAGAGAAAGGAAAAGTTTTATTCCAGCTCAAGTTAGGACAGCTCCTTAGGGTATATATCATCTTGACAAAGAAGAGATCGCTTTGGGGAAGGAACATTTGGTGCAGGGTTATATGTATTTTCTACATAATTAGTTACAAATCATTATGCTGAAGGACATGCCAGAAAGTTCCAGACTTTATCTTAGGCTTTTAGCATGCACAAGGATATATGATATCGTGGGGAACCAGGGAGGTTTGTTTCGTTTTTCTTATTTTTATGTTTGGAATACTCCTTAGTTTTTTTTTTTTAATCTTTTTTTTTTTAATTTTTATTTATTTATGATAGTCACATACAGAGAGAGAGAGAGGCAGAGACACAGGCAGAGGGAGAAGCAGGCTCCATGCACCGGGAGCCCGATGTGGGATTCGATCCCGGGTCTCCAGGATTGCGCCCTGGGCCAAAGGCAGGCGCCAAACTGCTGCGCCACCCAGGGATCCCAGCCTTAGTTATTTTTTTGAATAAAGCAGACATACAGTGTGTACTCCAGGCAGAAAAACAACCTTTGCTTTGAGGTTTTGCTGAGTCATGTTGACCTTGGAGGGAAATGTTAATGTATAGCTTCCCAGGGACTCCCAGGAGCAGAGCCCACAAACGTTAAAAGTTGAAAATTTCCTTTATCGTTGACTCCTTAAATATCTGTTCAGCTTTTTAGCCTCTAGCAGACTCTTTCTGCCTCGTTTTTTGAATTTTGCCCATGTGTGGAATTTGCCTTGATAGAAAAGAGCACAGAATGTCGACTTTGCCTTTGTGTTTCCTGCTTTCCAGGATTTTGGCTCTGCAAGTCCTGACTGCTTTGGTTATTCTCATCAGAGAGAACTCTTCAAATAGTTGCATCTTACATTTTATCTATTTTTATGGTTATTCTTAGGAGGATGCTTGGTTTGCAACAGCTAGTCCATCATAGCCAGAGAGAAAGTTCTTTGTAGGTAACTTTGATTTTTAAAAATTAAAGCTAGGATTATCAACTATGCTTCAATTAAAAAACAAACAAACAAACAAACCAAATTTATGGACATTTCACATTTCAAACCCAGTTCACAAGCTATTAAGTTTCACATAGTCTTAATCTAAATCTTTTTAAGGGGCCTTTTATAACTTGTCTAATCAAGCCTTTTAAACTCCTTTTATTTTTATTTTTTTAATTTTTTTAATTTTTAAATTTTTTTAATTTTTATTTATTTATGATAGTCACACACACACACACACAGAGAGAGAGAGAGAGAGAGAGAGAGAGAGGCAGAGACACAGGCTCCATGCACCGGGAGCCTGATGTGGGATTCGATCCCGGGTCTCCAGGATCGCGCCCTGGGCCAAAGGCAGGCGCCAAACCGCTGCGCCACTCAGGGATCCCCTAAACTCCTTTTAAAAATAAATACTCTGTTTTTGTTTTAAATTCTTCCCCTGCTTCACTGTTAGTTTGGTTTTCTTAATCATTTTTATACCTAATTCTAAATCTTCCTAGAATTTAAATATATCCACCCATTATGGAAGTGATTATGTCAGCCCAAACAATTTTGGAGATTATTTTCTTGGCTGATCAAGGGAGCATAACAGCCAGGGCTATGAAGTGTTATAAATTCAGAGAAATTTCTCTTGCCCCTGTCTGCCAAGGTTAACCCCATTTTTGTAATAACTGTGTCATAAACTCCAAAATTAAAACAAAAGCGGGATGATCATGTGGTCTGCCCCTGATCTTGCATTGTCTCTTTAAACCAGGCAAGTCTGTCTCCCATTCGCTTTTCTCCTGCTTCATGAATTTTGAGTAATTTTCATACTCTGTATTTACTTACTAGATGTTGAATTGATAAATAATTGGAGTTTATGTACTCAGAGTTCTGTCTGCCTCCCTAATACCATTCCCGTGGTTGTTCTTATCACTGTGATATGGCCTATTCATTGGAAATGGAACTATATATTGCATTAAAAAAATGCTTAATAGTATAATTGAACCCACTATATCTAAAATTTATTTTCAAAAAAAATTTTTTAAAGATTTTGTTTATTTATTTGAGAGAGAGGGAGAGAGAGAGCACTTGTGTGCATGCATGCATCCAGGAGGTGGGGAAGGGGCAGAAGGAGAGGGAGAGAGCACCTGAAGCAAACTCTATGCTGAGCATGGAGTCCATTGGACTCCATCCCAGGACCACAGGATCATGACCTAAAACCAAGTGTCAGATACTTAACCTACCAAACCATCAGGTGCCCCCAAAATATTTTTATTTTTTCTATTTTTTTCAAGATATTTTTATTTAAGCATATATAATCAGTATAAAAATGACTAATGAAGTTATTTTACATTCCTTTAAAAAAGTTTAGGTCTTCATTTTTATTTTTTAAATTGAGATATAATTGACCTATACTGTTATATTATTAGTTTCAGGTGTACAACATAATGATTTAGTATTTGTATATATTGTGAAATGATTGCCACAATATGTCTAGTTAACATCTATCACACACATTTTTTTCCTTGTGATGTGAACTTTCAAGATCTGCTGTTTCACCAACTTTCAAATATACAATGCAGTGTTATGTGTAATTATGTATAGCCACCACGCTGTACGTTATGTATTTATTTTATAATTGGAAATGCATACCCAAATGGACTTGTTTTAAGTGTACTGTACTGTTAACCGGTATTTACAATCTTATATCAGGACTATCAACTTAACTCTTGCTTTTCCCTCTACAGAGAGGCAGAAACTCTCCAGATGTCTTCTAATAATGACCCAGTTTGTATCCCAATGTCACAAAGAAGCACCAATGACCTCTCCAGGATGACCTCCAACGACCTGAAGACATCTACTGAAGTAGCCGTGTTAAGTTTTCATAACATTTACTATCGAGTAAAAGTGAAGAGTGGCTTTCTTCTTGGTCGAAAAACAGTTGAGAAAGAAATACTAACAAATATCAAGTATGTGCATAAACTATTAAAATAGCTTTATTGACCTACGGTGAGCTTCACAGGTTTTGCTTATTGCAAATAAAGTTGTTAGGAGACTCTGGGAAATGAACTAGGGGTGGTGGAAGGGGAGGAGGGCGTGGGTTGGGGGTGAATGGGTGACGAGCACTGAGGGTAGCATTTGACGGGATGAGCACTGGGTGTTATTCTGTATGTTGGCAAATTGAACACCAATAAAAAATAAATTTATTATTAAAAAAAATAAAGTTGTTAGGAACCTTTGTGTGCAAGTCTATACAGACATACAGACACATGCTTTTATTTTGTGTGGCTAACCTTGGCGTGAAATGATCAGGTCACATATTAGGCATATGGTTGATTTTAAAGGAACTGCCAAACCATTTTTAAAGTGGTTGTTCCTGTGCATCAACCTTTGTTTGAGAAACCAAACAATGTCATTTAGTTTCTTCTGGGTATGCTCTATGGTTCACTAGAAAGCGACTGGCTGTATGATATACTCGTTTTTGGTCATGGGGATATCATTGTCATCTTTGAGCTTCAGTCTTCTGACCTGTGAAACAGAAGATGTGCTGCTGTTCCTTATGAGCTAGACACGTTTAAGTCCTTACGTATTTTATGTCCTGTATGTTCTAGATGCAAGAGTCAGGTAGTTGAAACGATAGTATATTGTAAAGGTGCTTTGGTTTTTGAATATACTTGTTTTAAATGAGTGGTCTGTTTATATGTACCATGTTTGTACCATGTACTTAATGCTTTTCCCCATTACACAGGCAGACAGAGACCACTATAGCCTAGCCTAGCTTAAGTTACACAGTTGAAGTCCAAAGTGATAAGAAACGTTAGGAACTGAATGACTATGCTTAATTTTTTTTTCACTATGCTTAATTTTATTTTAAAATCCCGATCAGTACAAAACTATGATTCATTATTTTTCTTGATACTCCCGTTGTTCCTGATTTGGTTGGTGGGAGACCTTTGCTTTTTTTAACTCATTATTTTGACATGTTCTCTCATTTGAGTGTTTTTTTTTTTTTTTTTTGGCACAGCAAGAAGTTTCAGACTCCCTGAGTACTTACCTGCTTCAGATCTGGAATCAGCTGTTCTTTTTGTGAAGGATGTTACAGGCCAAGATCTGGGTGTTTGGAATGTTTATTGCTGTTGGGATGTCATATGTCCAAGGACTTCTCTCAGTGGTTAGGCCTAGGGAACATATGTGCAGATATATGTACACACATTTGCCTATGCATGTGTCTAAAACTTTTTTTTTAAGGTTTTATTTACTTATTTATGAGAGACACAGAGAGGCAGAGACGTAGGCAGAGGGAGAGGCAGGCTCCCTGTGGGAAGCCTGATGCGGGTCTCGATCATAGAACCCTGGGATCATGACCTGAGGTGACTGAGCCACCCAGGCATCTAAAACTTTCTATATCTATCTGTGTATATAGATTAAAACCTATGAGTTCTCAGGCAGCCCCAGTGGTGCAGCGGTTTAGCGCCGCCTGCAGCACAGGGTGTGATCCTGGAGACCCAGGATCGAGTCCCACATCAGGCTCCTTGCATGGAGCCTGCTTCTCCCTCTGCCTGTGTCTCTGTCTCTCTCTCTCTCTCTCTCTCTCTGTGTGTCTTTCATGAATAAATAAATAAAATCTTAAAAAAAAAACAAACTATGAGTTCTCATTAATGCCTAAATTTCTAATCTAATACCCCCATGGTTCTTTCCTCATTTTTATGTTTGTAAAAACATCTCAAAAAGTGAAAACCTTGGCTCTCATTATCCTTAATATATTTACTAATGATTTGCTCACTTCTCTTGTTCTTTAATATAAGTGATTACCCTATCCTTCAGCTGTCACCTCTCTTCCTCTCATCTCCCTTCACAGCCTGTGTTCTCTTACAGCTCTCAAGTTTTTCCTACTTCTTGACATTTTTTTTATTGAAAACTTGTCTTTTCATTTTCCTGTGTCATTTATAAAAATGCAGAGACTCATTCAACAAATTTTAAATGTCTGTTAATGTCTGCTTGACATTATGCAACACGCTAGTGATATAGATATGTCCTCTGTTCTCAGAAATCTTCTAGGCTAATGGTGTATTGAGACAATAGAGCACTTCACTGTATTCTATCATGTATTCTTTCATGATAGAGGGATTAGAAGACACTATCGGAGCCTCTAAGCTTAAATTAGAGGGCCAGGGGCATGAGAGAGAAAATGAAGAGTGTGCTATAGGGGTGTGTGTGTGTGTGTGTGTGTGTGTGTGTGTGTGTGTGAGAGAGAGAGAGAGAGAGAGAGAGAACAGGGTAGGGAGAGAAGGTGCTCCAAGCAGTGGGAGTGGCATGGACTTCTCCCTAAGATGAGACCAGAGGATTAGCCATTGTGCACTAAAATGTAATAGATATGACATGAATTCTTTACTGGTTTTCACTTACTGTATTCAGCATCTAGTGATCTACCCACTGTAGACCCTTATGTTGCATGCCATTGTAGGGTGGAGGATAACATGAGATGACATCATTCTTGTTGAATAAGGTTTTATAGTACAGTGAGGGAAACTTTCCTGAATGCAAATGCTTTAAGCAATAGATAAGGGTGGGGAATGAGTTTTGAGGGATGATAGTAGAGTTGAGAGCAGGGTGAGGAAATAAGGGAATTGTAGACCATAAACCAGAACAGCGGTCAACAGACTTTTGGTAAAGGACCTCATGATAAATATTCTCAGCTTTATGGGCCATACATCTGTGCTGCAACTACTTGGTTCTGTCATTGTAGCATGAAAGCAGCCATGGACATAAATGAATGAGTGCGGCTCTGTTCCAATAACACTTTATGAAAACAGAGAACAGGTGACCAGCTCTTATTTGCTGATCCTTGGACTAGAATGTAAACTCCACGAGGTCTAGGACTTTGTTTTATTCTCAGTTATGTCCCATGTCCTAGAAGAGTGCCTTATTGTACGTAGCAGTCAGTGGGTAATTGTGTTGAATGAATGGAGGGAGAATTAACCATTGCTCCCAACTGGAACTCTTTCTTGCACTTGTGATTGTACATTATTGTTTTCTGTAATGCTAGAGTTTAGTGCCAAAGTAAGTCCAACTTGGGGACCTGAAAAATTGTCCTAGAGCATTCACTTTCAATTTTGGGTTAATCATTTAGGATTGGTTGGTCTTTATTGGAGTAGATCTTTTAAAAACCTGGAAAAGTTTTCTGACAATGAAGTCTTAGTACATAACAAGCTTATTTCTGGTCATTTTATTTTTTTATTTTTATTTTTATTATTTTTATTTTTTTATTTCTGGTCATTTTAAAAGCAGATACTGGGTAGCTATTAATAAAGAAGATGAGCCAAGAGCTACAGATAAATGTGTCTGTAAAGTTCAATCAACCAAGTGTGTCTTTTTACATTTGGCGGCCGGGTTACAGGGAGAGGGGGAGGGGAAGAGATCACTGAAAGAGTAAGAGATCTTTCTGTTCTACAGCTTGTTCCTGACTTACCAAATGCATTGTGTTTGTCCAGTGTTTGAGTGAGAGGCACCTCAGTTAATGAGCTGAATGAAAGCTACCTTTCACCTAGCATCCACCAGCCGTTTTACAGTTGTGACAATTTAAGCACAATAGTCAGTAAATTCTGAGGTCCTCCTCTGTTGAAGCACTGAGGTACAATTGTGTCGTGAAGTTTATCACTCACAGTTGTATAATTATAGAATTGGCTTCTGTGAAATCATTACCTGGAAATGAAATAGGTTTCAGCTTTGGAATAAACTATTTTTTTTTCTGAGGAATAGATTCTGATTTATCAGTTCTAAGAGAGATGGGTTTAGACACCAAGGTTTTCCAAGGTTTTGAAAGGGCTTTTTCAAGTCTTTATTTCATTGTGTTTGTATGCCGGAAGAGACCCTACTCTTTTTTTATATATATATAATATATTTTTAAAGGATTTTATCTATTTTCGAGGGGAAGGAAGGGCAGAGCCAGAGGGAGAAAGAGTCTTAAGCAAACTCTGCACTGAGCATGGAGCCCAGCACTGGACTCGATCCCACAACCCTGGGATCAGGGTCTGAGCTGAAACCAAGAGTCAGGCACCTAACTGACTGTACCATACAGGTGCCCCTGGAGAGGACCTACTCTTAATTCTCCTTTTTCTAGTTTTTTTTTTTCTCCTTACCAGACTACTGGTTGCCTTATCTTCAGGATAAAATTCAAACTACTTGCTTTTTCTTGAGTCTCAACACAGTAAACCTTGCCTTAATTTTTTTCCACCTTCTTTCTGAGTATTCACTCCCCTTACCCTTCTATTTACACTTCTACTTTGTTTGGGACATGCTGTGTGGACTCCATGTCTATATATCCTTAAAGGTTGTCCCCCATAGAAAGTGGCATCTACCACTTCTATGCTGAGAGTTTTCTAGTCCACTTACTGATACTTTATAGGGAAGAAAATGATATATCTTGAGAGTACATGTTTTGCTTTTCTAATTCAGTAAAAATTTTGTGAGGGTTAAGAATTGGTGATGTTTTGTTTTGTACCTATGAGGTGCTTTATTCTTAGCTATTGAATTTCTCCTTTAGGTATATTGTTTCTTAATCTGACAAGTTTTTAGTGGTGAGAATACTGCTGGTGATTCTAGAAACCCATTGATTTCTTAATTGTATAGAACTTGACTAGGTAGCAATGAGGTGACTTGAAGTAAAATTAGTTAAGGTCATCAAACAGAGTTAAGACTTGTTATGTTCTTTACACTGTGTTAAGAAGGCTAAGTATAACAGAGATATCTAACCAGAATATGTTACTTTAAGGAAACTTGAAATTTCTTGTGTCCTTTTTAATGGTTTAGAGAAGAAGTGACAGAAGTTTAGAGGGACCCAAGCCATTTTTCTTAAAGGTCTCTCTCTCTCTCTCTCTTTTTTTTTTTTAAGATTTACTTATTTATTCATTCATGAGAGACACAGACTGAGAGAGAGAGAAGCAGAGACATAGGCAGAGGGAGAAGCAGGCCCCTCTCAGGTAACCTGATGCGGGACTCGATCCGGATCCCAGGATCATGACCTGAGCCAAAGGCAGGCGCTTAACTGCTGAGCCACCCAGGCATCCCTTTTATAGGTCTTGACTAGTGATTCATGTCCGTTGTATGCTGGACTTATGTTAATTGACAGTTCAGTGTCTTTTTCCGTTGAACATTGGTTTATGTTTGTTTTCTGTCTATAGTTCAATCACTTTCGCTGAGTATATTAAATGCAGACCCTAAATTAATAGAACTGATTTTAAGCAGGCCAATAAATTGATATGTTCTGTGTTTACAGTGGTGTCATGAGACCTGGCCTCAATGCCATTCTGGGACCCACAGGTGGAGGCAAATCTTCGTGAGTATAATAGTATAAGTAAGCTTTTCCTTTGTAGTTTAATGTGCAGGTATTTGTCGAACATTTGCTGCGTGTCTAGTCTGGTTCTAGGCACTGTGGATGACATGTAGTTGTGCTAGCTTGTGCTTGTCCCAAGGACTGGGAAATCTTATTTGGTCAGCTTCCTAACAGGACATGATTGGCTTATAGCTATCAGCTATGATTTAAGCTAATGGGGAGGGAAAGGAGAGAGAAAAAAGTTGAAAATGGGGAGATGGAGCCAAAGGGGCTTGTGTCTTACTTAGACAAAGGAGCACATTGTCTGACCTGAGATGTCCAAGATCACATGACCTGGTAGGCTGTTTGGGAAGTCTGCTGGATCAGCCATCGGTGACTTGGTTTCATATATTTGAGTTTTATTGTAGTATATACTAAAAAAGGGAAGGTGAGAATTTAAAAATATATGTAATATTATGATGAATCACTAAATTCTATACCTGAAACCAATTTTACTGTATATATTAACTAACTAGGATTTAAATAAAAATTGAAGTCAAGGAAGTACCTGAAGAAAACACCCATATACATAATTTTAGGTAATCCATGGAATTTCTTCCCCAGGTAATTTTCTAACTTGAGCAGAATTTGGATTTAGAGTAGCTGAGAGCTATAGCCTGTGTTGGAGAAACACAACAATGTATATATCCTCTCATAGGTTGTTAGATGTCTTAGCTGCAAGGAAAGATCCACGTGGATTATCTGGAGATGTTTTGATAAATGGAGCACCTCGACCTGCCAATTTCAAATGTAATTCAGGTTATGTGGTACAAGTAAGTCTTTGCGGATTTGTGTTTTAGCTTTCTTCTATTTCTATATGAGCAAATGCCTCAGCTGATCATTCAGTATACTTCCAACTGATTATATGACATATCCATAGAAGAAATTTCTTTGCACCAGCTTTTCATAATCACCTGTAAGATTTGGAGTGGTATGAAATGAAGTGGCAGGGACAATCTGGAATAAAACTGCCATCAGGGCAATGATATCTATTCTAGTTATCATTTCCACAAGATACTACTATTTTCCTTTTATGCCCTCCTTCACCTCTTTCCTTCCCTTAGCTTGGAAAGAGGTTTTGGTAAATCCTATATAATGCAGTCTGGACATGTCTGTTAGTAGTAATCATAATTACTTGTGTTGATTTGGGTATACAGATAAGGAAGGAAAATTATGCCATCAGGCTTTTCCAGTTGTCTGTATATGCAGTTGTTGTCATATGTCCAATTACACGGTCATCATTAGCTAGAACTTTATGTTGAATATGTTATTCTTGTGGATTAAGTTACAAGTTACCCCTTAAGGGTGATGGTATTAGAAAAGACCTAATATGTCTTGGTGAAATGCCATTTTGCTTTAAGGATGATGTCGTGATGGGAACTCTGACAGTGAGAGAAAATTTACAATTCTCAGCAGCTCTTCGGCTTCCAACAACTATGACGAGTCATGAAAAAAATGAGCGAATTAACAAGGTCATTCAGCAATTAGGTCTGGATAAAGTGGCAGATTCCAAGGTAATGTGGAAAAACCAGATAGGATCATAGCCAGCAAATAAGATCTCACCTGTGTGGATAGTGTAACTCTTCTTCAGAAATTTTCTATAATATGTGTGGTCAAAAGGGCACCTGGGTGGCTCTGTGGTTGAGTGTCTGCCTTTCACTCAGGTTATAGTCCCAGGGTCCTGGGAGCAAGTCCCTCATGGTGCTCCCCACAGGGAGCCAGCTTCTCCCTCTCCCTATGTCTCTGTTCTCTCTCTCTCTCTCTGTGTGTCTCTCATGAATAAATAAATAAAATCATATATATATATATATATATATATATATATATATATATATTTAGTCAAAAGTGGCTGCTTTCTGTAATGATGAGAAACATGACTAGTTACATAATATGAACATCAAAATTAACCAGATAAAAAAAATCTAAAACTGTTTGAATCCTGGAACTGAAGTGTGGCAGTGTGGTCTAGTATATAGAAGTGTCTTTGCAAAGAACATGAGGCCCCTTCCATGTGCTTATAGCTCTTGATCTCTCCTACACTGTTTGTCATGTCTCATCCACTATCTTTACACTAACTTTCTTCCTTCCTGTTTTCTTTCCCCTTTTAGCTGCTTCTTCCTCCAGGAGACTTTGTTCCATTGCTTTTGAGGTATATTTCTGGAATTCTTAAATGACAAAAATCCAAGGGTTCTGGTCTGGCTCTGTGTTTCACTTTGCTATAATTTGGCTTTCAAAATTATATTTAGTCAAAGTAGGGTTTATTTCTAATTTATGTAGGATCCAAGGTTGTTTTCCTATAGACTTTCTTTTGGCGCTTTTGTCTCTTACTCCTCCCTCCCTCTCTTCCTATCTTCCTTTCTTCTGCTTACAGTAGTTACTTACAGATTGTGTGTTATGTGCTGGGCTCTAAGGTTTTAGAGGTAACAGTTGTAGGCAAGAGAGACAAAAATAACTCCTTTTGTGGTTGTGCAGAGTCAGGAGGAAGAAATGAGTTGAACAAGGGAATTTTACAATTGATGACTAAGGATGAAAGATTTCCTGGTAAGACATTTGCAGCTTTGGGTGAAGATGAGCTTTTTAAGATTACAGTGGCTATAGTTTACCATTCTTTTATTTTTAGATTTTATTTTTAAGTAATCTCTTCACCCAGGGTGGGGCTTGGACTTAAAACCCTGAGATCAATAGTTGCATGTCTACCAGCTGAGCCTGTGGTGGTGATGGTTTAATTGCCCTGGATTTATATCCCTTATTTAGAGATAATGAAGAATGGGGGTATTTTGCTGGTTGTTGCTTCATGTCCTACTGTCTGACATTTTAGAAAAATGTAAAATGTCTTTTTTTTTGTATTTCATTTGGAAGTATAACTCTGAGATGCCACCGTTTACCACTTATTTTTGATTTATGAGTTTGTAAGTTTGAGTTTCCTTTGCCTTGGCCCTGTTTCTTTGATTTTGTATGTTTTTGGTAAGGTGCCTTCCAATCTTTGCCTTTAGGTAAAAGTTCTTTATTAATAGGCAGTCATTACCTTAATTTCCTTGAATGTAATAGCAGGGAAAATGAGCTGAAGGTGGTTGTTGACCTCTTAGAATTTATTTATCTAATTGATTGAAAATACATTTAAAATTTTTAACTTTTTATGAAATTTTAAATATAACAATTGTAGAGAGAATAGTCTAATTACTATTGTAATCATATGGTTGGAGTATAATTAATATAATGGTATGATTACTAGTAACATTCACCTAGATCTCCCAGTTGTTAACATCTTGTCCCATACTTGCTTCAGCTTTTTTTCTGAAGTAGTTTAAAGACAGTTGTAAATACTATATTTTACTCCTGAATACTGATTATGTGTCTTAAGAAAAAAAGACATTTGCCTACCCCAGTACCAAAATATTAACCAACAAAATTAACGGTATCTTAATATCAGCGATGTTAAGCCATATTCATTCCTGTTTCTCCAGTTGTCTCCAAAATGTCTGCTACAGCTCAGTTGTTATGGGATCCAATAAAGGGCATGAGTAGCACTCGGGATTATTATCTCTTTGGAGATTCTTAATATGTAAATTATTTCCTACCTCCTGCCTCTCCCAAAACCTTCTCGCTCCCCCTGCACCTCCTTGCCCACCACACACCATGACATCGACTAGTTGAAAAGACTGAGCCAGTTGCCCTGTAGAACATTCTGCCTTCTGGATTTGTCTGAACAAGTCAAGAATTCTGTAATGAGTTGGGATATAGGCAGGGCCAATTTGGGAACTTTATGGTGATTTAAGAGGTGCTCATGTGATACAAAGTGAACTTTCCTCTCTGCCAAGCCACACTGAGGACTTTTGGAGGGATGGGGAGGGAGGGTGTAAGAAGACTAATGAATTATAGATGCTTTCACCTCTTCCTCTCCCACCTTTATCTTCCTTTTGCTTTGTGATTTCTCTATGCCAGGACCATATGTTTTAGTGTTCTAATTGAACTATCTTAAAACTAAATGTTTGACTTGATGGGGAACATGAAGTATACTGTTAAGCATGGCATTCGTATCAGGCTTAGCTACTTACCTGACTTGAGCCTCAATTTACCCATCTTATTAAAGAGAAATCTACCTCTTCTCCCATATTTTCATTTGTTTGTTATTCAGAATAAGTGGGGTTAATGAGATAAAGTGCCTCTTACAGGGTTGGCACATTGTAGGACCTCAACAAATGGTAGTGGCTGTGGTTGTAATTGTTAATAATGATATTTGTGTCTTAGGTTGGAACTCAGTTTATACGCGGCGTGTCTGGAGGAGAAAGAAAAAGAACTAGTATTGGAATGGAACTTATTACTGATCCAGCCATCTTATTTCTGGATGAGCCCACAACTGGCTTAGACTCCAGCACAGCAAATGCTGTCCTTTTGCTCCTGAAGAGGTAAATGCTATGTATCTGATCACCTGCTATATGCCAGGTATTATTCTCAGTGCAGGGAGTTCAAGAGTGAGCACCAAAGACAAAAATTTCTCCCTTCTTTGTTGGAGGGAAACCGTCAACAAATATAAGTGTTTCAAGAAAAATGAAGCAGGGTAAGAGTGTAGCGAAAGATGGCTATAGTGGGGTTGGGGTGCTGTATTACATACTGGGATGGTCAGGGAAGGCCTCATTAATGTGACTTGTGAGCTGAGAGCAAGTGAGTGAGACCTGAATATCTGGGAGAAGAGTGTCCTAGTTGGAGGGAAGAGCCAGTGAGTCCTGAGCAAAGCATGCCTGATATGTTTAGAACATCAAAAAGGCCAGAAGGACTGGACACCAGTGAACTAAGGGGAATGGAGATTGCTTATTGATTAGTTTGCTGGGAAGCTAAGTTCCTGGGAGGCTATAAGTCTAAGAGTGTCAACAGGATTATTATTTCTTTTGCTTTAAAGCTTTTGTTTATTTATTCATGAGAGACACAGAGAGAAAGCCAGAGACATAGGCAGAGGGAAAAGCAGGCTCCTTGCAGGGAGCCTGATGTGGGACTTGATTCCAAGACCCCGGGATCATGACCTGAGCCAAAGGCAGACACTCAACCACTGAGCTACCCAGGTGCCCCAGGATTATTATTTCTGAGGTCTCTCTCCTTAGCTTATAGGTAGCTGTCTTCAGTCTGTGTCTTCACTTCATTTCCCGTCTGTGCATCTGTGTCCTCATCTCCTCCTCTTATAAGGACCCTAGTCCTTATTAGATTAAGTCCCACTCATAGGCCTTATTTAACCATAATTACTTCTTTAAAGACACAATCTCCAAATACAGGTATATTCTGAGGTACTAGGGGTTAGGACTTCAATGTGAATTTGGAAGGGGAGGGACATAATTCAGTCCATAACAATTAGAATAGAACATGAGATGGAATTGAGTGGGTGAGAGATTATTCAGGCTTTGTAGGCCACTAAGAACTATGGCTTTTATTGTCTCTAGGTGACATGGGAATTTTTAGAGAGTTTTAGAACAGAGGAGTGGCAGCTGTGGCAGCTGTGTAGAGAAAAGACTATGTAATTGGGCAAGGTGAGTACAAGGAAGCCAGTCAGTAGGCTGTTTATATTAGCTCAGTTGAGATATGATGCTTGAAGGGCACCTGGGTGGCTCAGTGCTTGAGCATCTGCTTTCGGCTCAGATCGTGATCCCGGGGTCCTGGGATCGAGTCCCACATCGGGCTTCCAATAGGGAGCCTGCCTCTCCCTCTGCCTGTGTCTCTGCCTCTTTCTCTGTCTCATGAATAAATAAATAAAATCTTAAAAAAAAAAAAAAGATGATGCTTGCTTTGCATAGGATGGTAGTGGTGAGGTGGTGAGAAGTCAAGGATTCTGGATCTGTTTTGAAGATAAAACCTACAGGATTAGTTCATGAATTGCATGTGGGGTGTGGTTATTGAGAAAACAACTTTCTAAAATTTAGGGCCTGAGAGATGGAAGAATGGAGAAAAGAGTTGCATTTACTTTTATTCTTCCAGTGGGAGGAATATGTTTATATAAGAGAAATTTCAGAAGATAGATTTTGGACATCTAAAAAAAATTAGAAAAAAAATGTTAAACCTATCAAAGAGAAATAAGATCAGTACAAAGAAATCTCATGTCCTTTTATCTAGATTCTTACCATTTATCTGCATTTGCAGATAATTTATCTCCATCCCTCCACCCCATATAATCTTTTTCTGATATCATGTACCTTCACCCGCTAAGTACTCTGGAGTAACTCCAAGAAACAAGGACACTCCTTCTACATTACCACCTTACACACCTCCCAGCTGAGAAGTCTACATTGCTGCCATCACCACCATCCAAAACATGGGCTCCAGTTAGACTTCACTACCAGTTGTCCCAGAAATGTCTCTTTCTCCTTTCTGACTCAGGATTTTCTTGAGAAATGCTTATTTTAAATCTTTTTGAATCCTGAACAGTTTCTCAGTCTTTCCTGGCTCTGATGCCCTTGTCTGTCTTCAAGAGTACATTTTGTAGAGTGGCCCTCAACCTGGTGCATCCCGTGTTTCCTCATGACCAGACACAGGCCATTAATTCTTGGCAGAGGTAACGCAGAAGTGATGCTGTGTTTGGCGTAAATCAGGGACTATGTGATTTTGACTTTTACCACCTTGCGTGATGTTCATGATCATCACCTGGTCATGTTGGTATCTGCTGGGTTTACCTGCTGTGAAGTAACTCTTTTTCCTTTTGTAATTGAGTAGTATTTTGTCAGGGGAGATAATCAGGTATTATATCCATATCCCATTCCTCATTAAATCTCCACCTACCAGTGTTGTTGTTGTTGTTGTTTTTAAAGATTTTATTTATTTGTGAGAGTCACACAGAGAGAGGCAGAGACAGAGGCAGAGACATAGGCAGAAGGAGAAGCAGGCTTTCCATGGGAAGCCTGACATGGGACTTGATCCCAGCACCCTGGGATCACGACCCGTCCAAAGGCAGATGCTCAACCACTGAGCCACCCAGGTGCCCCTCCACCTACTAGTTTTAGAATATACTAGCAACTTCTACCTCTATCAATTACCAGTATGATGGTTGTCAAGTGATGTTCTATTTCCATCATTCTTTGTATTACACCTGCCAAGACCATTGACACCTCTTCTGACTTTGATGAAGGGACAGAGGAGCCCAAAATACTATATATTAGTTAGCATTCTACTGTAAAGAACTTTTCCTCCTTCTCTTTCATTTATGTTTTCTCATTTCTTATTTTAGTCAATGGAATATAGTCTGTTATTCTTGCTTAGTTTTATGATTAAATTAACGTTGATTTGGCCATTGGAAGCCCCTTCAGTCTGGCTTTTGTGTCCTTTTGACATGTCCCCTAATCATTCTTCAAGCATTTCTTTACTCTATGGTCAACAAGATGTTCTAGGCTCATCTTTTACTTTTCCTGTGTCAGATGTTTCTCTAAGGAGACCTGGTACCTTTTGACATAGTCAGAATTTAGAAACCAAGACCTGATTACTTAGTGTGCTTGCTGCTACTGCAGTTCCATTGCTCCAGACCAACTTAGTGGACATATCTCGGAAATACTTGTGTACATGTGGTGCATTATGTATATGAATATATAACAGAAGTATGTTTCTATATTTTTTTATTAAAGATTTTATTTTTAAGTAATTTCTACACCCAGTGTGGGGTTCAAACTCACAATCCTGAGATCAAGAATCACATACTCCAACGACTGAGCAAGCCAGGTGCCCTTATTTCTATATTTTATTTGGAAAATATATGGAATCTTAATTTATTATGTGTATATATAGCTTGAATGGAATGATACATGCAAACATACACCTGTAACTATTATTCTGTTAGCATGTGTATATTAAAAAACCCTTGAGTGCATAGTATTTCCAATCTGGTCTAATCCAGTTTTTTTTTTTTTTTTTTAAAGATTGTATTTATTGATTCATGAGAGACACAGAGAAAGAGGCAGAGACACAGACAGAGGGGGAAGCAGGCTCCATGCAGGGAGCCCGCTGTGGGACTCGATCCCAAGACCCGGGGGTCATGACCTGAGCTGAAGGCAGATGCTCAACCACTGAGCCACTCAGGCATCCCTAATCCAGTCTTGAATGTCCTTTTTAGTCTTTGCCCTGTGTTTGTAAATGATATTTCAGACAGGCAAAAACTTAGCTGTCATCATTTCAATATATTTACTACCTAGATTGTTAATATAATTAATTTCCTGGTCATCCTGGCCATTCCTTCTGCCCCCACCTCCTCTGGGACTGCTCCTTACCACCCCAATTTCTTAAAAGCTGCCACATACACATCTTCATATAAATGATATCCATCCTTTCCTTATCATTACTTTACTTCGTCAGCTGCTTATGCTCTCATAAGCAAGTCTCTATGCTGGGATAAGGAGAAAATGGAAGATTTTAGACATCCTAAGTTTGAGACGGCAGTTACACATATAAGTGTATATACCAAGTAATGGGTCTAGGGTTCAGGTTCAGTTAGACAATGCATGATATTTTTGTTATCTCTAAGTGTGCTTACAGTGTTCGTTAGAGAACAGCGAATTGATGTGGAATACTGGGTTATGTTAATGTTTCGTTCTGTTTGTACTAGTTAGCACACAAACATCTTTCCTTGTGCTGGAGGGCTCTCACCTAGAATTTCTCACACTCCGCTGTGCACACTAATCACTGGGGTCTTGTTAAAATCAGATTTTATTTCTACAGCTCTGGGATGGAGTCCAAGAGTCTACATGTCTCGTAGGAGATAGTGATACTGATGCCATTGGTCCTCTGGCCACTAGGCTGTCACACCAAAGCACTTTCTTGCTTCCTGGAGTCCTTCACCGGCTTTCTTGCCTTCTGACTAAAGCTGCAGCTTCTGGGTGAAAGGATTCATCACGGACTTGTATTTTGTTGTGGTGTCTTTTCCTAGCTTCTTGCCCTCCCTCAGCCCTGATCATCCCCACACATACACCAGGGCTCTGCACTGACACAGAACTACTCATGGTCTCCTTAGAGACCTTGTTATTGCAACTTTGTTTGCCACGTTCCTTCAGCTTGACTACATTTTCTCTTCTGGGCTTATTCTGGTTGGCTCCTTTGATTTACTACTTATATATCTTCAGACTGGCTTATAGTCTTCTATTTTGCTTCTCAGCGTCTCTTATTCCACACTGTACTGCAATGGTTAATCTAGTGGCCTGATCCTCTTTGAGGCAGAGCAAGCTTGTACACACTGCTAGCATGTAGTAGGTGCTTAGAAAATACTTAAATTGACATGATACCTTCAGAAAATATTTTCAATAATGACAGGTTTTCAACAGTGATTTTGGCCTTTGTTTCTTCTATCTATGAGTAGTAACTCCTGTGTAAAGGTAGTTTAACAGTGTTTTGGCCATGGAATCAGACCAGCCAGGGACCAGCCTTGCTCCTTATTAACTGTGACGCTTAGGACCAGTTGCTCAATCCTCTAACTCTGTTTGTTTGTTTGTTTTTAAAGATTTTCTTTATTTGAGAGAGAGTAGGGGGAGGGGGGCAAGCTGGGGGGGGGGGAGGAACAGAGGGAGAGGGACAAGCAGACTCTGCACTGAGTGTGAACCCTGCTCCAGGCTGGATCTCTCCACTCTAAGATCATGACCTGAGCTGAAACCAAGAGACAGATGCTTAAGCGACTGAGCCACCCAGGTGCCCTCTTCTAAGTCTTATCTGTAACATAAAGGTAATAATAATATTGGTACTGGGCAGCCCCAGTGGCACAGCGGTTTAGTGCCGCCTGCAGCCCGGAGTGTGATCCTGGAGACCCAGGATTGAGTCACATGTTGGGCCCCCTGCGTGGAGCCTGCTTCTCCCTCTGCCTGTGTCTCTGCCTCCTTCTCTCTGTGTCTCTCATGAATAAGTAAATAAAATCTTAAAAAAAATATTAAAAAAAAGAGCATTGGTACTACCTCTTTTTTTGGTTTGTTTTTATTTGAAACAAATAGTTGCACCGAGCAAGAGCTTACTTTGCCCACTCTAAGTTATTATTATTATTATTATTATTATTATTATTTTTCCCCACTCCAAATTAAAACAGAGGGTAATAGGGGCAAATGTCTTTTGGCAGGATAGGTCCAGTATGTGAACATCCTTCTACTCACTGTGGCTGGGGCAACTTTATTCATCAGCAGTCATTCTTACACAAAATGTTAATCCCAAAGTACTAATGTCACAGAAAAGGAAGTGGTCTTAATTTCATGTGTGGGGCTGTATGTTTTATAAATGCCAAAAGGTAGGAGAAGCACAAACACAACCCACTCTTTAAAAAAACTAAATAGTTCAAAGAATTTTCCATCCCTTCCCCCCCTACTCCCATAATAAAAAGTAGTGCTGACACCCAGATTTGTTTTTTATCCTGGCCACTTACAAAGTATTCCCCCATCTGACTTGCATCATTAGGGTTATGGATAAAAGTTCATTCACTGTGAAGAGAGGTGCATCTGCTCCTTCCTCCTCTTCTTGCCTTCATGCTCATGTTCCTTGGGGCGGCTGCTATCTGAGGGTCTTTTAGAGCCATGGTGTTGTTTGGCCTCTTTCAAAAATTTGTCCAAACCAAAAGGATCTTCCTCAAACTGAACTGGTCCTTCTCGGCCTCTTTGTTTACTGTCCAAACCAGAAAATTCCTTATCGGGAACAAATGTGTTGGTCTTTATTCTGGCTTCTAGGTCATCACCATACATGTCCTTGTCCAGATTTTTATTGGGCCTGTAAATATTCTGGGCCATATCTTTACCACCTCTCCAGGCTTGATCACAAACGTTGTAAATTTCATCTTCTGCACCTGCAAAACCACTGTCCATACCCTTGGACTGATTGAAGAGCCTTTGGTCATACTGAACTTCATTGGACGTCCGTGGATTGGGCACACCAAGAGCAGTGACTTCACTGATATCTCGATTTTCATTTCTCTGTAGTTTTGACCTCTTATCAGGAGCTGTCCTGGAAAGAGTCCGGTTGTGCTGTCTTTCTTTTTGCCTGTCATGCCGGATTTCATCCCTCTCACGTGTCTCCCCATCCTCTTTTTCCACATGGGTTTTAATCCCAGCTCTTATTCTTCTCTCTCTAGCTTTCTGGGCCATTTCTCTTAGTTTCTCTTCATGTTTCTCCTTTTCTTTTTGTGCCATCTTTCTCTCTACTTGAGCAGCATTTCTACAGCCTCACGAGCTTTCCAATCAGCAATATAGAAGCCAGCTTAGCAAAGTTCTCATTGATGTGAATTGTTTGCCGGCCTTTCCAGACGTTTGTCTGATGGAATTGTATACCCCTTTGCATTTTTCCAGTTTGAAATACAAGGAGGAATCTTCCACTCTTGTTGCTCCTACACAGTCATCTTTCAGCTAGGAGAATGCATGACAGGTGCAGGAGGAGAAGGTGGTCCTTGGGGAATTCTCTTATTAATCTTGAACCTTGGAGACTCCATTGGATCTTTCTTATTTTCCACCATCCGAATAACTCTCTGTTTAGCTCCAGAGTTGAAAGCCACTCCTTGCTGAGATGCTGTGTATTGAATACACTGAGCAGGAGCCAGTTTATCAGCAGCTCGAACTGGCATGGCTGCAGCACCTTCTGTAATACAGATTTTTCTATGGCTACTCTTGTCTTTTCTGTTATCTTTTTAATGGCTTCTTCATCAGGTCTTTGAAGATCTGGATCATCTGCATTCATGAGTTGGAAACCAGGTCATGAATAAGTGACCTTGTCTTTTGACTGTCCTTGCCGAGCTATTGCATCATATTTAATTTTTCCTTCAGCATCCACCTGAATGGCCAGTGCATTTGACATTTTTTTTCTTCCGTCCCATATCCATTGGATACTGGGCCACATGGCTCTCTGGAAAAGCACTTCCATTTCCAAAATCCTCTAATAATCGAGGTATCCAGCCTTTCCTATACCCATATGGGGGAGGTTCTCTTTGGGATGAGACCAGTGAGGTCTGTCTTGATCTCTGGGATCTTGCTTTTTCTTCAGCCTCAAGCTGGTCCTGAGGTAGCTGAGTAGGTCCAGGTAAAAAGCTGGTGAGTGCCATCTTCTTCCCTGGTACTACCTCTTAACAGTATTGTAAGAATTGAGATAAGGTTACCTATTAAGTATGTAGCAAAGACATAGTAAGTACTCAGTAATACTAATTGTATCAGGGCAAAAGAATGAAAACCAATTCCTAAAGAGCCAGGAAATTTAAATGATCAGTGAGAATAATGGGGCATACAACTATCATTTTAATATTTAGTACATGATATGTTTTCAAACACAACTGTACTTACAGATTATCTGGGTGTTTGTTAGAAATACGGATTAGGTCTGAGAAAACTGTCCATGGATCTGCATTTTTCATTAATACTCTGGTTGATGTAGACTGCCCATGGAACATACTTTTAGAAACCCTAGTGTTTTATGAGAGGACTGAATTTAGGTCCCCTAACTATCAAACAATATGAAATGAGAAGTTAGTAAGAAGAAATCAAATTGAACTAAGAACAGATGATCTGAAGGCAGGAATAAAGTTGCCATGATGTTTAAGTTTCAGATGTTTAATGACTTATTTTTCTCTTTTAACTTAGGATGTCTGAACAGGGACGAACAATCATCTTCTCCATTCATCAGCCTCGTTATTCTATCTTCAAGTTGTTTGATAGCCTCACCTTGTTGGCTGCAGGAAAACTGATGTTCCATGGGCCTGCCCAGGAGGCCTTGGGGTTCTTTGCGTCAGTGGGTATGCTGGACTTTTTCATGCAGTAGGATCCTTTATTAACAATCCTGAAAGAGAGTAAAGGAGGTCTATAAGAGTGCTGTTTGATCTTTGAGTATACACACTATGGCTTCTGCCACTCCAAAACATTTTGGGTTAGTTTGATGCTAGAATTTTTTCTTCATTGTTTACAGTGCTAGCATGTTGTTTAGGTCTCTTTCCTGTCCTATTTGAGTATGCCTGCATATGTATGTATGAATATTTCTCCTGGGCCTGTATGTGATCTGTTTCCTGGTTCTGGTGACATTTCCCTAACAGTTTATTTACAGTTTTTACTAAATATGTTGGACTCATAGTTATCTGTCAGTTGAGCATTTTTGAAAAGGCCTAATAATAATCTGTAAATAGTTTGTCTTCTTGTCTAGATTATGGATCAGGCTTTCTAATTTTATCTCCTTGTAGATGTTGGTCTGCTTTGGTGGGGGTTCATGAAGATGCTACTTAAAATTTTCTAGTAACATTAAATTACAGATTTAGGCCTTAAGGGGGTAGGAGTTCTTACTAGTCAATAGAATGACTAGTTGTAAGTCTTACTTTGAGGGCTTCTGACTGTTTGAGCTGCCTGGTTCTCTTTACAATGGAAATATATAATTTTTTTAATGACTCATGCAATCTGCTTCATTTTAGAGATATTTGGATATGATTATAGATGGTGATATAGATGGATTATGACTCCAAATATAGTTTTAAATATTTGCTAGCCATCTTCTGAAAAAAATTTTTTTTTTAAATTTCTCTCATTTAAAGTGAATAAGCACACACAGTTCTAGGGAGTTTAGGGGAAATGAACCTATAGTCAGACTACAGACCAGGTTGAGTTCAGAGGATCATGCCTCAAGAAGTTGAGATAAGCATTCAGCTATGCTGTCCCAGGCACATTCTACTGGGGATGCTGCTCTGGTGATTTGTTCTCTATATTGGATTTATGACAGCACAACAGATGATCATTTGGCAGTCACTAGGTGAACTTGGATAACAGAACACATCCCTGGTTTTTCCCAAATGCAATCTTTCTGTGCGCATTCTTTGCTTGTTGTCTTGTTTTGAGGAGCTCTAGTCCTAGTCTTAGCTACAGCTTTTTTTTCTTTTAACTTAGCTTTTTTCCCCCTTGGACCTATATTTAGATTTTTGAAGCAGTTCTGATAAGCATCAGAGCATACTGATAGCTGTTTCAGGTCCTATGAATTATGATGGGTAAGGACCAACTATGAAGACTTCCTGGGAGTCCAAGGTTGGTTTTGAATATGTTGTTTTTCTGGAAGACAGAGCATTGTTGAAATATTATGTGATTGAATATATAAAAAGAAAGGGTGAATCAGTGAAAGAAGAGGGGGGAAAAAAAAAGATGAGGGAGAAGTTGATTCTCTTCCCCGTCTCACCTCTCTCACCTCTGAAAGTGAGTTTTTACTTTCCAAGACCATCAAGTTTGTACTTCCTTTTGTAGGTTACCATTGTGAGCCCTATAATAACCCTGCAGACTTCTTCTTGGATGTCATTAATGGAGACTCCTCTGCTGTGGTATTAAACAGAGAGGACCAAGAGGGTGAAGGTATGTGAATGAATCTGTTGAGAGTCACAGATTATTACCTAACTGAATTGGTGGAAGTTTAGCAATGTGGCAGCTCATTAACACATGGATTTATTATATTAATGCTGTCTTCTAAAAAAAAAAATGCTGTCTTCTGATAGCAGTTGTCCTAGTCCTTTTGGACTGCTGTAACAAAGATGCCTTACACTAGGTAGTTTAAACAGTAAACATTTGCTTCTCCCAGTTCTGGAGCTGGAAGTCCAAGGTGAAGATTCCTATAGACTCAGTGTCTGTTGAGGACCCGCTTCCTGGTTCAAAGATGGGTGACCACTTCCATGATGGAAGTAAGGAGGGGCCTCTTTTATAAGGGTACTAACTAATCTCATTCATTAGGGCTACACTCCTATGACTTAATCACCTTTCAAATATCATCACACATCAGCATATAATTCTTGAGGGAACACATTCACTCTATAGCACTGGTCAACATAGATCTTGTTTTCCACGAGTGCTATATTTTTTATTTAATTTATAAATGAGTATTTATGTGATAGTGTCACTTATAAGGGGAATTTTCATTAAAAATGTCATTGTTTATATAATGTTTTGAAATAAGAAACTTGGCAGTTTATATATTTGTATATAGAAGAAAACAAGGACCAGGTTTGTATATTAGGAATTATAACTCCCTATGGTAAGAGGTCTATTTTAAAAGAATTAGGGTTCAAATAGGTGAGGAAGTTTGCTGTATTTATAAGTTTATGGTCAGTAGATTTGCTGTATTTATAAGTTTATGGAAGTAGTCGGACAATTAACTGTATTTTTCTAATCTTGTAAAACAATGCTAGATCTAATAATTTTTTATACTTAGGCATTAGAATTAAGATGGTAACAAGGAATCTAGAGAAGAGTTACAGAAAAATGGTCTAAATCAGTTGTTATTTTATTAATAATGTTTCCCTTCTTTATCCACTTTTATTCCAAAGTCAAGGTGACTGAAGAGCCTTCCAAGAGAGGTACTCCATTCATAGAAAGAATAGCTGAATTTTATGCCAATTCTGACTTCTGCAGAAAAACAAAAGAGGAGTTAGATCAACTCTCAAAGAGTCAGAAAAGGAAGAGCTCATCCTTTAAGGAGATCACGTATGCCACCTCCTTCTGTCAGCAACTCAAATGGATTTCAAAGCGTTCATTCAAAAATTTACTGGGTAATCCCCAGGCCTCTATCGCTCAGGTAACTGACAGATTCTTCTGATAATGCTGGGACATACTCATATGGGAACATTAGGTTCTGATATAAAGTCTTTTAGGATTATGCTTATCTTCTACTCAAACTTACATTTATTTATCCCTACTCCATTTGGGATATAAAAACATCCAATAGAACAAAGTAAAAAAACACCACGAAATTTTTACTTGTGGAAAATTTTTTTAGTTTTTTTTTTTTTTTTTTTTACTACAAAATTAAGAATTTTTGTTTATTTAGACTAGCTGTAATGGATAATCTTTGTAGAAAAATCTTCAAAAATTGTGAAATAAAGGAAATGTTTAGCCACACTTAGAATTTTCTGGTAGCTGCACATATTCATTTTCTGACTCATTCAACAAGTTCTTACTGACCATGTGTGGCATTTTGAGAGCTTGTATATGGAAGTGAACAAAATGGGAAAAATAAAACCCTGTTCTCTCTCTCTCTCTCTCTTTTTTTTTTTTAAGATTTTATTTATTTATTCATGAGAGACACACAGAGAGGCAGAGACAGAGGCAGAGGGAGAATCAGGCTCCCTGTGAGGAGCCTGGTGTGGGACTTGATCCCAAGAGCCTGGGATCATGACCTAAGCCAAAGGCAAACACCTAATCACTAAGCCACCCAGGTGCCCCTAAAACTCCAATTCTCATAGAGCTTTTCTTCCTATGAGGAGTGACAGATGACAAATTCAGACAGTAATGAACTATGTAGCAAGTCATATGGTAAAAGGAGCTATGGAGAAAGTTTAAGCAGAGTGGTGGGGAAAGGAAGAGAAGCGAGAAGAAAAGGAGAGTGGGAGAATGGAAGAGAGCGGAAAGGGCTTAATGGCATTTGAAATTAAGTGGCCAGGGAAGCCTGTCTCTAGAATTCACTGAATGTACCTGAAAATCATAGGGGCTAGCTTCTTTCTGAGGGAAGAGCCTATGTGCCAGTGCTGTTCCTCATAACTGACCTTTTTAATTTAGGGGTTCAATCTTAGGAGAGCACTAGGTACCTAAGCCAGTTTGCAGTTCACACAACCTAGTAAGCAGGCTTAAATTCTATTAAATAAGGCTCTTTACCATCAGATTAACTTTCTTTTGATAAAGACAAAATCATGTTATTTTCCTCTTTTGGCTGACTCTGTTGATAATTGTTGATTATTCCCCCTTTATTGTTCTGTTATTCTCAGGTGCTCTATCATACAAAACGAGTATTCCCAGTTCATTGATCCATCTTTCTAAGCAAATCAGTTTAGCTGGTTATTTGGGGGGTTATTTTATTATCAATTATTGAATTTCTGTTGAGTACCAAAAGATGGCATGCTGTTGGCACTAAGAAGATATTGCTGACTTCTTGGGACACCTGAATGGCAATGGCATAGTGGCCAACTCTTGGTTTCATTTCCAGTGGTAATCTGAGAGTTGTGGGATTGAATCCTTTGTTGGGTTCCATGCACAGAGTGAAATCTGCTTAAGACTCTCTCCCTCTGCTCACTCTCCTACCCCATGTTTGTGTATGCACACAGGTGTGCTCTCTCTCTGTCTCTCTCACTCAAATAAGTCAATCTTAAATATTACTGATTTCTCACCATGTGAACTATAATTTTTGTACTTCAGTATTAATACCAAGAATTAATTCTAACTATTAATACCAAGAGTCTCCAACCCTGGGAAATATTGCTAATTGCTCCAAACCTTTTGCTACTATTATTTTGCATTTCATTTCTTTTCTTTTCTTTTTTTTTTTTTTTAAGATTTTTAAATTTTATTTATTCATGAGAGACACACACAGAGAGAGAGAGAGAGAGAGAGAGAGAGAGAGAGAGAGGCAGAGACACAGGCAGAGAGAGAAGCAGGCCCCATGCAGGAAGCTCGACGTGGGACTCGATTCTGGGTCTTCAGGACCAGGCCCTGGGTTGAAGGCAGCGATAAAACTGCTGAGCCACCCGGGCTGCCCTTATTTCACATTTCTGTCAGAATGTGTACTTCTGTGCACTATCAAAGTTAAATTTTTATTCTTTTAAAGTAGATTTGATATCATTTGGAAATGAGTCTGACAAATAATGTCAACCTCGTTACCTATTGTTCCAACAGTGAGATAATGTGACAGTGTTGATTCTTTAGTGTGATTTATGCATTATGGTTTTTTTACTTGGAAAATAATGTAAATTTCTCTTTTCTCTGAAAGTGGTTTAAAATTATCTTGTCCAAGTCACATATATGGTAGCTCTGGGCTTAATTAAGTTTTTAATTAAATTCCGGTTAGTTAACATGCAGTATAGTATTTATTTCAGGTGTACCATTCAGTGATTCAGTACTCCAATACAGCACCCGGTGCTCATCCCAACAAGCGCACTCCTTAATCCCCAGCACCTATTTAACCCATCCCCCACCCATCTTTCCTCTGGTAACCATCAGTTTGTTCTCTAAAGTTAAGTCTGTTTCTTGGTTTACCCCTCCCCCCCACCATGATAATTTGTTTTGTTTCTTAAATTCCACATATGAGTGAAATCATATGGTATTTGTCTTTCTCTGACTGACTTATTTTGCTCAGCATTATACTCTCTAGCTCCATCCCCATCATTGCAAATGGCATGATTTCATTTTTTTTTTAGGATGAATAATATTCCATTGTATGTGTATACCACCTCTTTATCCACCTGTATGGACATTTGGGCTCTTTCTGTCATTTGGCTATTGGAGATAATGCTGCTATAAACATAGCGGTGCATGTATCCTTTCAAATTAGTGTTTTTGTATTCTTTGGATAAATACCTAATAGCACAGTTGCTGGATTGTAGGGTAGCTCTCTTTTTAACTTTTTGAGGAACCTCTGTACTCTTTTCCAGAGTGGCTGCACCAGTTTGCATTCCTACCAGCAGTGTGAGGGTTCCCCTTTCTAAATGGTGGAGCTATTTCTAATCCACTATGATTCTGCATCTTTTTTTTTTTTTAAATTTATTTATTTATTTATGATATTCACACACACACACAGAGAGAGAGAGAGAGAGAGAGAGAGAGAGAGAGAGACAGAGACACAGGCAGAGGGAGAAGCAGGCTCCATGCACCGGGAGCCCGATATGGGATTCGATCCTGGGTCTCCAGGATCGCGCCCTGAGCCAAAGGCAGGCGCCAAACCGCTGCGCCACCCAGGGATCCCTGATTCTGCATCTTTTGTTGCTAGGCTTTCTTCTGCACAAACCCAGGCCTAGTACCTCCAGGTTGCATACGCAGCCTACATGCCTCCTTGGGGAACTCAGTTTCACAAAAGGAGTCCTAACAATGCTCAGATGCATGGCAATCCCACAGAATAAAGATAGAACATTGCATCTGTCTCTGAGCATCTGCCGTTCAGATTTGCACATGCTGGAACGTTAATGTAAGACAGGAGCAGGCAAACCTTTATTTGTGAAGGGCTAGGTAGTAAAATACTTTCAGCTTTGCAGACCTGTGGTCTTTGTCTCAGGGAGTCCACTCTGCCATTTTAGTGAGAAGGGAGCCATAGGTAATACACAAGCAAGGGAGTATGGCTGTGTTCCACTAAAACTTCACTGATAGACACAACTTTGAATTTCATTTAAATTCCATGTGGCAAGAAATATTCTTCTTGTCTCACTCTTTTTTCCCCAACCATTAAAAAAAGTGGTAAAAACTATTCTTAGCTAGAGGGCTGAACAGAAGTTGGCGACTGGCCATGTTTGCCTGTGGACCCCAACTTGCTGACCTTTGGTTTAGTGTTTTTAATCTCATGTGTATGTTGTTTACTTCTCGAAGTGTTTGGATGTGAGGCTATTAAATTGCTTTATGGCTTCCTGCTGATAAATCTCCTATTGGTAATAATATTACAGCCATACTTAGATTTCAACTAGTCATATATGTGATTCAGACTTTGCTTCTGATAATACCATTTATTTATTTTATTTTATTTTATTTTATTTTATTTTATTTTATTTTATTTTATTTATTTTATTTTATTTTATTTTTGATAATACCATTTAACCAAAGGTTGTATTTGGATGATCTTGGAGTAAGTGGATCATCTGTATAAAAGGATTTGATGTTCATTTAATGTGCCATGATCTTTCTGATCAAGTCAATTTGGAAAACACTATCATAACTCTTAGAGATTCCTTTTTTTCTATTGGCGTATTTAATATTTGACTATGGATTAGTTTCTCGAGTGATGGCCGTAATTATCCCTCAGCACTCACCTTGTGATATGTTGCTAAGCACATTTGAACAAGACAGAATAACATATATAAGGGATTCCCTTCCTCCTTATTCAACAGAAACCTCATAGATAGTGTCTTTGTGTGCTCTGTTGAGCAATGTTCAGTTTGCTTGTTTTCTTTTTCTTTTCTGTAATGCAAGAAAGAATAACAGATACACCTTGTGAAAGCATGACAAAATTATGAGATTAATCATTTTGTCAATACGTTTGAAAGCTGACTTTGAAAATACTTTGAGAACTTTGAAACCTTCAGCAAACATCCTAATGATAATACTGACAGTCTGTTAGTATAAGATAAAATTTGAATTCAAAAGAAACAAGTGTCCTTTTGTAGTGTCCAGTTTAAAAAGTCTGAATATTCTTGAAGTTATATTGTCTGAAAGTAGAGACTTGTATACATACACATGTGCACACGATAATGGTTCATTTATTTTGGGAGTTTAATCTGTTGGCATGAAGTGCAGTATATTCTTAGGTTAATGAAAATTATACCAGGGTAATAGATTTTTTTCCAAATTTCTGACTGTCTTATTAGCAAGGGATTTTTTTTTTTTAAAGATTTTATTCATCCATTCATGAGAGACATGCAGAGAGAGAGGCAGAGACACAGTCAGAGGGAGAAGTAGGCCCCCTGCAGAGAGCCTGATGCAGGACTCAATCCCGGGACTCCAGGATCACACCCTGGGCCAAAGGCAGGCGCTAAACGGCTGAGCCACCCAGGTGTCTCTAGCAAGGGGATTTTGAAGACATCTCAGATCATATTTTCTCCAGATGGTAGTATTCACAGGCTAGCCTTCACAGATCATGATCCTGTTTTCCAGTTTTGTGTGCTTCATGTCAAAATAGACTTATCTTGATACTATTATGCTGTTGTAGTACTGAGATTTTTTTTTTTTTAACTTTGAAGGTTCTGAGATACATGGTTGGATATTTTTTCTTTAGATGAGCATTTCATATATTTTTATACTTAATACAATATGAAAGTATAATAAGAATTTTCTTAAATAAATTCTATCGTAGGGTGTCCCTGGGTGGTTCAGCGGTTTAGCACCTGCCTTCCACCCAGGGCATGATCCTGGAGTCCTGGGATCGAGTCTCTCGTTGGGCTCCCTGCATGGAGCCTGCTTCTCCTTCTGCCTGTGTCTGCCTCTCTCTCTCTCTCTCTCTCTCTCTCTCTCTGTCTCATGAATAAATAAATAAAATCTTAAAAAAAAAAAGAAACTAAGATTTCTAAAAAATAAAAAATAAATTCTATCATAGTATAACCCTTAATCCTTTGCTTATAGAAGTGTCCTTAATAGATATTTTATCAGTCTTAAAAACAAAAGTGATGTTTATGCAGTCGTCTTAGGAGGCCTCAAACAGACCGAGTAAGCCAATATACGTAACAGTGGCAAATAAATAGCAGGTTGCTTCTACACTGTTGGTTGTAGGCCCTCGGACTGAGGTTGCTAGAAGCAGTGACAAGAGAATGGGTAGTGGAAGCATTTGAGTACCATCAGAGATAGCTAGCTGAATGCTTTGGTGGCAATGACAGTGCACTTTTTCAGTAGAGGCATGCCCTGCCCGCTAGGTCAGGTAGGCGGGTCTCAGCTTACCCCTGCTTCCTTATCACACAGAATAACATTGTCAGAATTTTTTTATGTGTGCTTGAAAAATTTTATTTATTTATAATGGTAAAAGTAAAGATATCCTGTTTTTATTTGAACCCCTTGAAATATGAAACTGCATGCTCACTAGTACAAAGGTTGAGAGTTCAGGCAGAGCTGCTAGTCACTTGGACTTTATTCCTCAAGTGACTTAGCCAGGCACTGGCATTATTCCCCTTCTGTATATGGCCTTCCCAGGCCTGGTGGCCTGGACTGGACCTTGAGCTGGCCTGGCAAATCACTGGGAGGAACCTTAGCATTCCAGGGGTCTACTGTGTTCTATCAGCCTCCCCAGCACACAGATAAATTATTTTTTAATTTAGAAAGGAGCCAAATAATATACACTCCCAAGGACTTTGGCTGAACCATTGGAAGTATTTATCTCAATGGAGAAATTGGATTATGTAGCCTTGTATTTTATAGTAATCAGTGGTGTGTTAGGTTCTTACCTTTTTTAAAAAAATTTTTTACCTTTAATTAAAACTTGTTTTTCTTTTTCTTTTTGAAAAGATAATTGTAACAGTCATCCTGGGATTGGTTTTAGGTGCCATTTTCTATGATCTAAAAAATGATTCTACAGGAATCCAGAATAGGTGAGTAAATTTGGATCTTGATTTTGATAAAGTGCTGTTACATCTTTCAAGCTTATGAAAATCCATGAAAAATTTGAGATAAGGGCAGCCCGGGTGGCTAGTGGTTTAGCACCGCCTTCAGCCCAGGGGCATGATCCTGGAGCCCCCGGATCGAGTCCCATGTCGGGCTCCCTGCACGGAGCCTGCTTTTCTCCCTGCCTGTGTCTCTGCACGCCCCCACCCCCTACCCCCACCCCATGCGGGTCTCTCATGAATAAATAAAATCTTAAAAAAAAAGAATTTGCGATAAGTACAGTGTAAAGTGAGGAATAGGATAAGTCAGTGAATTAAAAGCTGTATGCATATATGTGTGTGTGTGTATATATGGTGGTAATTTATACAGAATATACAGATAATTTTTACCTTCTTAACCAGTTTTAAGTGTACAGTTCAGTGGCATTAAATACATTCCCATCATTTTTTAAAAAGATTTTTTTTCTTCTTTTTCTTCTTTCTTTCTTTCTTTAGCTTGTAAACAGAGGGATGGGCGGAGGTGGGAGGTGGGAGGAGAGAGAGAGAGAGAGAGAGAGCATTTCAAGTAGACTCCGTGTTGAGTGCAGAGCTTGACACAGGGCTCAATCTCATAACCCTGAGATCATGACCTGAGCCAAAATTAAAAGTCAGACATTTAATGGACTGAGGCACCCAAGTGGCCTGATACATTCACATTACTGTGCAACTATCACAACCATCCAACTCCAGAACACTTCATCATCCCAAACTGTATTTCTGTACATATTGAAGAATAATTCCTCATTCTCCCTTTATTGCCTGGAAGAAATTATACTTCATTATACTTATTGTCTCTGAATTTGACTACTCTAGGTACTTAGATAAGTGGAATCATACAGTGTTTGTCCTTTGGTGACTAGCTTATTTTCCTTAGTATAATATCTTCAGGGTTCATCCATTTGTACCGAAAGGAAGGATTGCTTTCCTTTTCGAGGCTGAATAATATTCCACTGTATAGATACACCATATTTTGTTTATGCATTTATTTGTCCTTGGACACCTTTTTGGCTATTGTGAATGCTGGGGAGGAAGAATTTCCTTTGCTCTTCAAAGTTCATCCAGTAGGACCAAGAATCACATTGACATGATACAGATTAACAGGAGAAAATCAAATTTAATAGAATCTGTACAGGAAATCCACACAGACGTGCAAATTCCAAAAACAGACAATATAATGCTTATCTGAGTGAAGGAGAAGGGCGGGCAGAATCTGAGGATACAAAGGAGGAGAAAGACCTTACCTGGAAGATGGGAGATGATGGTTGGAAAACAAAGGTTGCCCTCTTTAGCAAATAAGTTTCTTAGGCAAAGAGGAATCTTTCTCAATAGCTTTCTTCCTGGTGTAGGCTCTCCTTTCCAATGTAAATTTAGGCAGTTGAGGGGGAGGTAAAAAGCTTTTCTTGAATCTACCAGGTCTTGATTCTTTTAAGTCAAAATAATCTTAGGTCAAAGTGACCTGCCTTGGAGCCTGCCTTTTGCCCCTAAGCAATGCTGCTATGAATGTGGATGTACAAATAAATATCTGTTTGAGTCTCTACTTTAAATTCTTTTGGTTTATACCTAGAAGTAGAATTACTGGATCATTTGGTAATTCTATTAAATATCCTGTCTTCCATAGCAGCTGTATCATTTTGCATTCCTACCAGCAGTACAAGGGTTTCAATTCCTTAACAACCTTACCAAACTTGTTATTATTTTTTTTCTTTTTAATAATAATAACCATTCTAATTGGTGTCAGGTGATACCTCATATGTTTTTTTTTTTTTAAGATTTTTATTTATTTATTCATGAGAGACAGAGAGAAGCAGAGACACAGGCAGAGGGAGAAGCAGGCTCCCCACAGGGAGCCCGACATGGGACTGATCCCACATGGGACTCAATCCCCGGTCTCCAGGATCACACCCTGAGCCTTAGGCAGCGCTAAACCGCTGCGCTGCAGGGGCTGCCCTCCTCCTGTGGTTTCTGATTTGCATTCACATAATGATTAGAGGTGTTGAGAACCTTTTCCTGTGCTTATTGGCCATTTGTGTATCCTCTCTGGAGAAATGTCTATTCAAATCCTTTGCCCATTTTTTTTTTTAAAGATTTTATTTATTTATTCATGAGACACACAGAGAGAGTCCAAGACATAGGCAGAAGGAGAAGCAGGCTCCCTGCGGGTAGCCTGATGCAGGACTGGATCCCAAGACCCTGGGATCACAATCTGAGCCAAAGGTAGAGGCTCAACTGCTGAGCCACCTAGATGCCACTCTTTGCCCATTTTTTGGTTAGATTTTTTAAATTGATTAACTGTAAGTGTCTTTCATATATTCCAAATATTAACCCCTTACCAAGGATAAATTTGCAAATATTTTCTGACATTCTATGGGTGGTCTTTTCACTGTTGAGAATGTCCTTTGATGCACAAATGTTTTAAATTTTGCTATAGTCCAGTTTATCTAATTTTTTTTCCTTTGTTGCTTGTGAATATTTTTTTTCTTCTATTTTTTGATTTGTTTGCCACGGAGAAGTTGATGACACTGAGGTTTTTCCAACTGTTATATGGTTAGCACTTATGGTTAGCACTTATATGGTTAGGACCTTACCGAATTCTAGTCATTATGTGCCCTTAAAAATATTTTTTCATGGTGAGACTTTGCAATGGGCTCTAGAATGCTCTGAATATATATGCTCAGCAATGCCAAAGACTGCAGAGTTCTTCATGTAGAAAGCTGTTTTGTGCCAGGCACTGTTCTCTGCTTTAAACCATGGACTCAGGCTTCTGCCCCAAGAGGTGGGGTTGTATTATTCCCATTTTACCATAAGGGTATAAAGAAAGTTGCAATAGCTTAAGTTGAATCTGTTTTGATGTCTGATTGTTTATGAAAGAATCAGCATAAAAGTCAATTCCTCACTCAAATAAAATAAAATGTAGTGGTTCTCTACATTGAGAATATTATGGCAGCTCATTTCCTGAATTATGTCACTGTTTTTCTCTTTACTTTCCCTGAAGGGTGTGTTATTCTCTCACACATTTCCAAGCTTGCTAGTGATTGGTGATTTGTACCCTCTGTAGATGCCATATTTTTACCAAGCACAGAATATAGGTCATAGGATCTATCACTTGTGGACCTTTTATGTTGTACAGTGAGAAGCATTTGCAAAAAGTGTTGGAAAACCTGTCCTCAACTGGAATTTTAAAGGGGAACTGGATATCTAACCATTAAAAATTTTTGTAGAAGAATCCAGAGAAATAAAGAAGACGTTTAGCAGCTTCTTCAAATGTTTTCTGGAGAAATAGGGCACTGAATCTATGTATGTATGTATGTATGTATTTATTTATTTATGATTTTATTTATTTATTCATGAGAGACACAGAGAGAGAGACAGGCAGAGACACAGGCAGAGGGAGAAGCAGGCTCCAAGCAGGGAGCTTGACATGGGACTTGATCCTGGGACCCCACGATCACGCCCTGGGCTGAAGGCGGGTGCTAAACTGCTGAGCCACCCGGGCTGCCCCCACTGAATTTATTTTATTTCGTACTTTTGACTTAAGCTTGCTGCTACTTTTTAATCATTTGAAATTGCTCAGGAGGCTAGTGGTTTGGTTCTATTGTTTGGGAATGAATTATCCCAGAGAAGTACTCTCTGCTCTTTCTTTAACCTGTATAACTGACAAGCTGAGGTTTATTCATATGTAGAGTATGAGCTTCTATTGTAGGGATAGCTAAGCAAATTAATGTATATTAAGAGAAAAGATGTTTTAAGAAATACTTGGATCGATAAGTAGATATTATAGGTGTGGATTACCAGCTTGAAAAGAATTAGAATATCTTAAATTCTCTAGGAATAAAAACTGTATTTACTATAAAATAAATCATATGGTTTAGAAGTAATGTCACTATCTACTAGTTCAGAATCATGATAAACACAACAGTATTGTTAGATATAAGGCTTAACAAATTGAGCTGAATTGTTGCACGTCCCATATTTATTTCTTCCTTCTTTTCTTTTTTCTTTTCTTTCTTTCTTTCTTTTTCTTTCTTTCTTTCTTTCTTTCTTTCTCTCTTTCTCTTTCTTTCTTGTTCTTTCATTCTTTTTTTTGCATGTCTTATATTTCTGAAATTAGCTTTTATTTTGATAGTAGGCTTCCTTATGTGGAGAAAGTTGCATAGGTCTGTGTATTAGGTCTGGCTATTTTCCATTCATTAATTATATAAACATTTACTTTTAAAATAGTCTGTTCTCTAAGTTATTTATTTTATTTATTTTTTGGTATTAAAAACAATTACTGGGATGCCTGGGTGGCTCAGTGGTTGAGCATATGCCTTTAGCTCAGGCCATGATCCCAGGGTCCCGGGATTGATTCTCACATCAGGCTCCCTACAGGGAGCCTGCTTCTCCCTCTGCCTATGTCTCTGCTTCTTTCTCTGTGTCTCTCATGAATAAATAAATAAAATCTTAAAACAACAACAATTAGTGAGTGTCAATGGACTTTTTTTGAGGGGCAGTACACTTTGGTTCATATTTTTATGTGTTCTTTCATTTTCGTGTCATTTAAATGATGGGTCACTTCAGTTCTTTCAAGTCACGATCCTTAGTGTCAATTAAATGGTTTGATTACGAAGGGAAGCCCAACACTGTTTCAGGAATGTTGGCATGCTTTCATAAAATGTGTATGTCCCTCAAAGTGTAGATTAACTGTGACTTTCCTTTTTAAGCCTTAATTATTTTACTGAGAAAAAAGCGTTAGTAGTCTTCCTTTTCTTACAGGCACATACCTGTATTTTTCCTTTATAAGCATCATTTTGTTTTCTTTTTTGAGCACATTGGAAACCATTTTGGCAATGGCTTATCAAGGATAACATCATGGCTCTTCTGACAGTTGTGTGATGGATATATATATATATATATATATATATATATATATATATATAATAAGGTATCGACCGAGGTTTTCCTCCACTGTAATTTTGCCTCTTCATGTTTTAGTTTCTTCTTTACCTTGAAAAGGTGGCTAGTAGAGGTTTTTGAGCTTTGTGGGCTTTATTTGGTTCACTGTTTCTCTGTTCATACACTAGATATGAACAGATACTTATTGTTTCTGTTAGTTTAAATTCAAGGTGGTAATATTTTTATGACCTATGTATTCATCAGCACAGACTGCCATCACAGTCATCCACAGCCTGGGTGGCTTAAACAACAGTCTAAAAAATAGGGTTAGATCAGGGTGCATCCATGGGCAGGTTCTAAAGAGACCTCTCTTCCCGGCTCACAGGTGGCTGGCTACCTTTTTGCTGTATCCTCACATGGCAGAGAGAGAGAGAAAGAGAGTGTGCTCAGGTGTTTCTCCCTTTTTTTTTAAGGGCACTAAATCCATCATGAAGCCCATACCTTCATGACCTCATCTAAATCTAATTACCTCCTAAATACACTGTCGCTAAATATCATCACATTGAGGATTTGTGCTTCAACATAGGAATTTGGGGAGAGGACACAGTTCAATCCATAGCAGTCCAGGACTGTGACTTCCAAACTATGCTCTGTGGAGTCCCAGGGGTACCATTGTGAACCCACAGAGATGATGGGGAGAAAGCAATGGGGCCATACTTCCCTCTGTTTTAACCAGAACAGTTTCTATTTAATGTTCTAAGGTATCATTTGAGGAGAGTTTTGTGGTTAGAAAAACTGATCTTAGAATGTTTAATTGACTGCAGTGTTTTTCTTTCCCTTTCTCTCATTGCAGATCAGGGGTGCTCTTCTTTCTGACGACCAACCAGTGTTTCAGCAGTGTGTCAGCTGTGGAGCTCCTTGTGGTTGAGAAGAAGCTTTTTATGTGAGTAGGTCTCTGTTCCAGGAACGGGGCTCTCCGGTATCAGGGGCTAATGGTCAGATTGGTCATATCTAGTATTGGGCCACAGCTTGGGTCCTGGGGATTGCCAATGATAATTGAGAACAAGCAGCCAGAGGTAAGAAGGACAATCATGAGCATGTGGGGCATGATACCAAGGGAAAAGAGAGTTCAAGGTTAAGGCAGAGCCAGCAAGTCCAAATGCTGCAGAAAAAGGAAGCAATAAAGGGGTAAAAAGGATCTTTTGTTTTTAGCAACTGAGAAGTCATGGTGGCCCTCACAGGAAAAGTTAGAGGGGCTTGGTAGAGAGAAAGTGGTGGGTTGAGCAGTAAATACAAGATGTGGAGGTCAAGTTGACAAAGAATGTGGTCCCAGCTTAGCCCTCAAATGGAAGGGGAATGGAAGAAGCCAAAGGGCAGCCTTCCAATAAATTAGGGGCTGTTTTGTTTCTTGTGTTTATCAAGGTTGGAAGAGATTTGCCCATATTTACACCCTGAGGAAAGGGAATCATTCCGGGGGAAAGAATGATATTAGGGGAGAAGTTTGGAATTACAGGAGGAAGATGTCAGGAAGAGGAAGGGATCTAGAGCCAAAAAGGGAAGAAAACAGGATTTGATAGCTGACAGGGATATGTGGTTGAAAGGTATGATTATTGAAGGAGGAAGTGCCATTTTCTTTTTTTATCATGAAAGTAGAAGTGATCCCAGGCTGCATTAAGAAGCTCAGAGGATAGCAGTGCCACCTTCTTCATAATCAGAAGTGGGGAGAAAGTAAAGCCTCTACCATAACTGAGCTCAGCTGCTAGAACGTTATTCTCTAAGGAGAGTCAGTGTTAGAAAAGGGGAAGGAGATGAAGATCTGCTCACTGGGAGTGGGTGCTCTAGGGGCAGAATGGATGGCATTCAAAGGGAGGGCTTTTTTTTTTTTTTTAAGATTTGATTAATTTATTTGAGAGAGAGTATGAGCAGGGGAGGGGCAGAAGGAGAGTAAGAAGCAGACCCCTCACTGAGCAGGGAGCCTGATGCAGGACTCAATCCCAGGACCCTGAGATCATGACCTGATTTGAAGGCAGACATGTAACTGACTGAGCCACTCAGGTGCCACTCAAAGGGGAGACTCGCACCCAAGATAGTGCCTGATGCTGACGGAATGGAAGGCTGGGGTTTGCCTCAAGGATGTGAGAAGCTGTAGTTATTAGAACCCTGGTGGTTGCAGAAATCGCAGGTAAGCAAGCAGTCTAACCTGGTCTCTGCCTTTTAAACTAATGTAGGATGAATTTTTCTTTTTTTTAGACATGAATATATCAGTGGATACTACAGAGTGTCATCTTATTTCTTTGGAAAACTGTTATCTGATTTACTACCCATGAGGATGTTACCAAGTATTATATTTACTTGTATAATATACTTCTTGTTAGGTAAGCAATATGACAAACGGTTTGTGTCTGTAGTTTTGGATATGAGGGCAAGCCGATTTCTTTTTACTAGCTTGTTTTTGGTTCTCAAACTTTAAACCAAGCTGGTGACATAAGGATACATCTATCCATTGTACATACTCTGAAATAACTGTTCTCTAAGGACACTTTTGTCAAGACTTGTCCCAAAATAGCTTTTTTTAAAAAAAAGATTTTATTTATTTGAGAGAGAGAGAGCATGAGCAGAGGAAGGGCAGAGGGAGAAGCAGACTCCCCACCAAACAGGGAGCCAGACATGGGACTCCATCCCAGGACCCTAGGATCATGACCTGAGCTGAAGGCAGATGCCCAACTGACTGAGCCACCCAGGCGCCCCCTCAAATAACTTTTAAAACTATTTATAAAGCTATATTTTACTGAAGGATACTATGTCATTTATAAATATGGAAAGAATTCCTAAAACTATTTGAGACTATGTTGGAAGAGCTGGGATAGTTATCACTCATTTGTATTTTTATTTGTGTGTGTATACATGTGTTTGTATGTAAAGATAGTGAAATATACTGATTTTTGGGGTTTCCTGGTTTAATACAAATGCTTGCTTGATAGGTAGTTAGACTCCTTTGCGCATTGTGTTTAGGTTTTACCATAGGCTCATTGTATCAGAATTTCCATATATTTTATTGATACACATAAATATATATACACACATCTGAAATATATATTTTAATTAAAAAATATTTAAGTAAAGCACTATAGAAGAAGATTCACTGATTGAGTTTAAGCTTCCTTTTTATATATAAGAAGTGTGTCATGAAGAATTAGGTTATAGAACCTAGATCCTCAGATTCTTGACTGGTGTTCTTATAGCTATTCCAGAATCTTCAGATTGTGTGACCCATGATATTAGTCCACACAGTTTGTAAAGTAGTTTTATGAAACTTATTTAACCCCACCCTCAATCCCAGAATTATATGGTGCTTTTTCTTGGGAGACTTGGAATATGGAGACATCCCTTCAGATATTGAAACCACTGGGAAGTCACATAATCTTCTTCCCAGTTTCTTTACTCAATGTAGTTATAGCAAACAGTCATGCGATTATGTCTACGTAAAACAAATATGCTCTTGACAAATTTCCTTCTTAGAAGAAAAGGCAGTAGAATTGTGACCAGATGTGTTGCTTGGACTTCTGCATCTCAGGCACTCAGAAATTGTTAATAATTACAAATAAAGGCACAGAGAGATGTTACACAGAAATGTGCTTATGCAACAAGTATAAAAAAGAAACTTTATTACAACTTTATATAGTAATATGGTAATTGGTGAGCCAAGGTGGTTGAATAGAGGATGAATTTTCTTTATTCTGGGATTAGTTTTTAAAAATATTGTACTGCTATTTGCACAATAACCAATCCCAAATACACAGTTACCTAGGCAATTGGATTTAGCCCCCTCTTTTCTTCCTAAGGATTGAAACCAGTTGTGGAAGCCTTCTTCATCATGATGTTTACCCTTATGATGGTGGCTTATTCAGCTAGTTCTATGGCGCTGGCCATAGCAGCAGGCCAGAGTGTGGTATCCATAGCAACTCTCCTCATGACCATAACCTTTGTGTTTATGATGGTGAGTAGAAACTGTGCTTTTATAAGAAGCATAGTTATTCCTTCCCACAAATTTACCTGTTACCTAAAACCTGCTTTGACAATTCTGTAAATGGGATTCTCTGCTTTAAGGAGGTCATGTATTGAAGTATTGCTTATATTAGAGAATGTATCGATTTTTCTGAACATTATCCAGCCTTTTTGACCACTGTTCTAATATAATAACTTTAGTTGATATTTTGTTACAAATGGTTTTTTAAAAGATGCTTCTTGGTGACACATAGTGAAACCTTGATAAACTAGAACTTCAAAAACTAAACTAGACTTTAAACCAAAGATTGCAACAAGAGATGAAGGGCACTATATCATAATAAAGGGGACAGTCTAACAAGAAGATCTAACAATTGCAAATATTTATGCTCCCAATATGGGAGCATCCAAATTAATAACAAACATATAGGAGCTCATTGATAATAATACAATAATAGTAGGGGACTTTAACATCCTGCTTACAGCAGTAGACAGATCCATCTAAGCAGAATATCAACAAATCATGGCTTTGAATGACAAACAACCAGATGGACTTAACAGATATATTTAGAACATTTCATCCTAAAGCAACAGAATACACATTCTTTTCAGGTGCACATGGGACATTCTTCAGAACAGATCACATACTGGGTCACAAATCAGGTCTCAACCAGTACCAAAAGACTGGGATCATTCCCTGCATATTTTTAGACCACAGTGCCTTTTTTTTTTTTAAAGATTTATTTATTTATTCATGAGCGACATGGACTGAGAGAGAGAGAGGCAGAGACGTAGGCAGAGGGAGAAGCAGGCTCATCTCAAGGAGCCTGATGCGGGACTCGATCCCGGATCCTGAGATCACAACATGAGCCGAAGGCAGGCACCCAACTGCTGAGCCACCCAGGCATCCCAGAACACAGTGCTTTGAAACTGGAATTCAATCACAAGACGAAATTTGGAAAGACCAAAAATACATGGAAACTAAAGAACATCCAACTAAAGAATGAATGGATCAATCAGAAAATTAAAAAGAAAAAATACATGGAAACAAATGAAAATGAAAATATGACAGTCCAAAACCTTCGGGATGCAGCAAAAGTGGTCATAAGAGGGAAGTACATAGCAATGCAGGCCTACCTCAAGAAGCAAGAAAAATCTAAAACAACTCAACCTTATACCTAAAGGAGCTATAACAACAAATGAAGCCTAAAGCCTGCAGAAAGAAGGAAATATTGAAGATGAGAGCAGAAATAAACAATATAGAAATTAAAAAACCCCCAGTAGAACAGATCAATGAAACCAGGAGCTGGTTCTTTGGAAAAAATAACAAAATTCATAAACCCATAACCAGACTTATCAATAACAAAAGAGAGAGGATCCAAATAAATCACAAATGAGAAGTAACAACCAACACCACAGAAATGCAAATGATTATAAGAGAATATTATGCAAAAATTTATGTCAACAAATTGGACAACCTAGAAGAAATGGACAAATTCCTAGAAACATATAAACTACCAAAACTGAAACAGGAAGAAATAGAAGACTTGAACAGACCTATAATTGGCAAAGAAATTGAATAAGTAATTAAAACTCTTGAAATGAACGAAACTCCAGGGCCAGATGACTTCACAGGGGAATTCTATCAAACATTTAAAGAAGAGTTAATCCTTATTCTTCTCAAACTATTCCAAAAGTAGAAATGGAAGAAAAACTTCCAAACTCTTTCTATGAGGCCAGTATTGCCCTGATTCCAAAACCAGACAAAGACTAAAAAAGAGAACTATAGGCCAGTATCACTGATGAACATGGGTGCAGAAATTCTCAATATGATACTAGTAAACAGAATCCAGCAGTACGTTAAAAGAATCATTTACCACGATCACATGGGATTTATTCCTGGGCTGCAGGGGTAGTTCAATATTTGTAAATAAATCAGCATGATTCACCACATTAATAAAAGCAAGGATAAGAACTATATGATCCTCTCAATTGATGCAGAAAAAGCATTTGACAAATAAAAGCATCCCTTCTTGATAAAAACCCCAACAAAGGAGGGATAGAGGGAACAGACCTCAACATCATAAAAGCCATATACAACAAATCTGCAGCCAGTATCATCCTCAATGGGGAAAAACAGCTTTTTCTCTATGGTCAGGAATGAGACAGGGATGTTCAGACTCACCACTGTTATTTAGCATAGCACTGGGAGTCCTAACCTCAGCAATTAGACAACAGAAAGAAAAAAAAGGCATCCAGATCAGCAAGGAAGAAGTCAACCTTTCACATTCACAGACAACATACTCTGTGGAATATCCAAGACTCCACCAAAAAATTGCTAGAACTGGTACCTGAATTCAGTAAAGTCTCAGGATTCAAAATCAATGTACAGAAATCTGTTGCATTTTTTTTTTAAAGATTTTATTTATTTATTCATGAGAGATGCAGAGAGAGAGGGAGAAGCAGACTTCCTGCAAGGAACCTGATGCAGGATTTGATCCCTGGGCCCTAGGATCATGCCTTGAGCCAGAGGCGGGTGCTCAGCCACTGAGCCACTCAGGCATCCCAAAATCCGTTGCATTTCTATACACCAATAATGAAGCAGCAGAAAGAGAAATGAAGGAATGGATCACATTTACAATTACACTCAAAACCATAAGATACCTAGGAATAAACCTAACTAAAGAGGTAAAAGGTCTGTACTCTGAAAACTATAGAACACTGATAAAAGAAATTGAGGATGACACAAAGAAATGGAAAGACATTTCATGCTCATGGGTTGGAAGAACAAATATTGTAAAAATGTCTATACTACCCAAAGAATTCTACACATTTAGTGCAATCCCCATCAAAATACCAATAGCATTTTTCACAGGGCTAGAAGAAACAATCCTAAAATGTATATGGAACCATAAAAGGCCCTGAATAGCCCAAGCAACCTTGAAAAGCAAAGCTGATGGTATCACGATTTCAGATTTCAAGTTATATTACAAAGCTGTAGTGATGCAGACAGCATGGTACTGACACAAAAATAGACACATAGATCAATAGAACAGAATAGAAAACCCAGAAATGAATCCACAACTATATGGTCCACTAATCTTTGACAAAGCAGGAAAGAATATCCAATGGCAAAGACAGTCTTCAACTAATAGTCCTGGGAAAACTGGACAGCTACATGCAAAAGAATGAAACTGGACCACTTTCTTATACTATACACAAAAATAAATTCAAAATGGATGAAAGACCTAAATGTGAGACAGGAAATCATTAAAATCCTAGAGAAGAACACAGGCAGTAACCTCATTGACATCAGCTGCAGCGCTTCTTACTAGATCCATCTCCTGAGGCAAGGGAAACACAAGCAAAATAAACTATTGGGACTACATCAAAGTAAGAAGCTTCTGCACAGTGAAGGAAACAAAACTAAAAGGCAACTGAAGGAAGATATTTGCAATTGACATCTGATAAAGGGTTAGTATCTAAAATACAGAAGAAACTTATAAAACCTTAACACCCAGAAACCAAATAATCCAGGCTAAAAATGGGCAAAAGACATGAATAGACGTTTTTCCAAAGAAGACATACAGATGGCCAACAGACACATGAAAAGATGCTCAGCATGATGAATCATCAGGAAAATACAAATTAAAACCACAATGAGATTTCACTTCACACCTGTCAGAAGCTAAAATTCACAACACCAGAAATGACAGGTGTTGGTGAGGATGTGGAGAAAGGGGAACCCTCTTACACTGTTGGTGGGAATGCAAGCTGGTGCTGCCACTCTGGAAAACACTATGGAGGTTCCTCAAAAAGTTAAAAATAGAACTACCCTATGATCCAGTAAATGCAGTACTAGGCATTTACCCAGAGGAAAAAAAAAATTACTGATTCGAAGGGATATCTGCACCCCTATGTTTATAGCAGTACTATCAACAAAATTAGGGATGCCTGGATGGCTCAGCGGTTGAGCCTTTGGCTCAGGTCATGATCCTGGGATCCGGGATCGAGTCCTGCATCAGGCTCCTTGTGGGGCGCCTGCTTCTCCTTCTGCCTATGTCTCTGCCCCTCTCTCTGTGTCTCTCATGAATAAATAAAATTTTTTTAAGATTTTCCAAATTATGGGAAGAGCTCAAATGTCAATTGACTGAGGAATGGATAAAAAGGATGTGGTGTATATACAGAATGGAATATTTCTTAGCCATATAAAAGAATGAAATCTTGCTATTTGTAATGATGTGGTTGGAGCTACAGAGTTTATGCTAAGTGAAATAAGTCAGAGGAAGACAAATACCATATGATTTCACTCATGTGGGGAATTTAAGAAGCAAAATAAACAATCATGGAGAAAAGAGAGGCAAACCAAGAAACAGATTGTTAACTACAGAGAACAATTGATAATTGCTAGAGGAGAGGTGGTTAGGGGGTTGGGTTAAATAGGTGATGAGTATTAAGGGCATACACTGGATGATGATAAGCACCAGATGTTGTATGGAAATGCTAAGTCACTAAATTGTACACCTGAAACTAATGTTATGGTGTATGTTAACTAACTGGAATTTAAATAAAAACTCCTAAAAAAAACACAAAACCCAGAAAAATTTTGATTATAAGATTCCCTCATAAAAATGGCAGGTTAATTACCCAACTTCTGGGCTAGTGTTAGAGAATTATTGACTCATTTAAGCATAACTTAGTGGTTTGGTTGGATCTACTCCTCTCTAAGGGTATAGCTAAGCTCTGTGAGAAAAAGTACAGTTTGCAGTGTGGGTAGTCTAGGTTGGGTTCCTCCTATATTTTGAAAAGAGATGTTTTAAAAATACTGAAAAGTTCCAAAGACCATACAATACTGTGTCTCCTCTTCTCTGGGTTCCTGATAATCTCATATACCAATATATTTCTGCTTACCCTTTTTTTTTTAATGGTTACTGAAGCCTAATCTTACATGTCCTTTAATTTTACATGTACATAGATGAATCAGTAGGTGAATCAACTAGTTAGTACCTTGCCCCCATGACATCGAGTGAACAAGAATACTTAGCCTATTTAGTTAATACATGTGTTCTTTCTGCTAAAGTAGGAATAGATGTCTTTAAAAGGAACATAATTAGCACAGTTTTTTGCCAGTTTGTCTTCCATTTCTGAGTCTGAAATCTTCCAGTTTAAACATTATTGAGAGAGTCATAAACCTAGCATATATTTTCTATAATATTATCCAATAAATAGTGAGGTGTCACCAATATGTAAGTTTTGTGTGATATATTTTAGATGCTTTACCTTGTTATTATTTAAAAGTTTATATATAGAACTTTTCAAACCAGTCCTAAAACCATATTTTACTCAGAGATGCTGTGTGTCCTATATTAGCAACTGGTTTAAGAACTTTAAGTTCAAAATATGTAGTCATGTCATTGTTATGTCTATCCCAGCATACCTACTGCCAGTTAGAAGTTTTACAGGAACTTCTTTTCTGTAGCCATCTGTTGCTGGAGTAGTCTGCCCTGGGATCTTCATTGTAATACTGCTTTTTGGCAGCTTTAAATCAAAGTATTCACTGTATTTTATGCTATACTTCACCACATTATTCTATATACCGGTTCCAGGTTCTGGGTTATTTTAAGCACTCATCCTGAACCTCAGATTATTTCTGTGGTCATGCAGAGAGAGCTTGCAAACCCTTGTAAAAAATCTTACTGTGTTTTGGAAATAGAGAGGGGCATGAGACGTTCAGGATATGTTCTGGTATGTTTATTGGTGTGAACATATAGTGGTTGTATCATTAGAACAGTCAGTACTCATTGACCTTTCATTATGTGCAGTTACTGAAAGTAAAAGCCTTGACAATTAAACGTCTTCCGATTAAATGAAATAATATTGTCATTCCTTTAGAACCTTAAACAGTCTCGAGTATAGAGAGGCATATGCATGCAAAGTGGTAAATCTTAGAAGAAATGTTTGTAAAGATTGTAGGGGACTCAAAAATTATTCTCTATAATTCTTCATGAAATCTCTTCACCAGGTCTGATTCTTGGTATTTGCTTTTTGTAGATATTTTCAGGGCTGTTGGTAAATCTCAGAACTGTTGGGCCTTGGCTCTCATGGCTTCAGTACTTAAGCATTCCTCGATATGGTTATGCGGTAAGTTTTTCTCATCTGTCATTGTGACTGGTTCATTGTTCCCAAACTAAGAACAACCAGAATAAAGCCTAACATCCTCATGTTCCCAGCCATGAACTGTCAGAGTCTCCCAGGGTTTTCATTTTAAGCGTAATGAAGAAGAATTTCACCTTGATAATCACCTGAGGTTTCCCCAGTCACCTTGCTGTCTGAGGGAGGGAAAGGTGGAAAGAGAACTCCTCGTGAAGGAGAAAGATTGACTAATTGATATAAAGAAATATAGTTGCATTTCAGTTCTATACGAAAATGGAGGATGGGAGCCTAGAATACATATTTTATATTGAAATTAGAAGAAAAAGAGCATATAATATAGCTACTGTGTTGGCTTTAGAAAGTTAATCAACTCCAAAGAAAAGTGTGCCCTAGTATAGTATAATTGGGTTTCTAACTCCCCAAAATTAGCACTGGTTTTGATGAAAATAAACAAGATTCCTACCAAAAATTAACAACAGTCATTGAATACTGCTGTGATTTTAATTACACTGCTTTGGGATTATAAAATTGGGGAAGAAGGAAGGAGCTATGGGTAGTATAGCCAGGGGTCTCCCCTCTTTGCCAAATACTATACTTCCTTGTTTTTAGAAGGCAAAATCCCAACCCTCGGCCACTCATTGCCAGGGAAAAGAATTTTCGTTGCTCTGGTGTGATGGAGACTGTGAATGTGAAGCTTTGTTTGTTTTTAGGAATATCAGTAAAAATTTAACCAGGAGGACATGACAATTCTTTTTTTTTTTTTTTGGACATGACAATTCTTTGGAAGCTTTTTGAAACTTAAAACTATTTACCTTGCCCCATCCCCCCTTGTGTTATAGGCTTTGCAGTATAATGAATTTTTGGGACAAAACTTCTGCCCAGGAGTCAATGTAACAACGAATAATACCTGTAGCTATGCAATGTAAGTTTGTACTCAGTGTCAGAATGGATTTGCTTACTATTGTGGGGTCATGTAGAAAGGCCTTTGGGACGCTTGGCTGGTGTGGTTCCTTTCACTGACCACTCTTAAGTTGTTGTACACCAGTGCACATCTCTTTGACATTCTACTATGGTCAAAATTATATTAAGTTGGAGAAATGTTTCTGATATGTTGTTCATTTAGGGCCTTTTAAAAGATTCTTAGTGGCTTTGATGGTGGGTTTTCGTTTTTATTTTCAGAACATCTGTGTTTCAAATGAGCTGCTTTGATGTTTTAGCGGCGTCTTGGAATATTGGAGTTGTATGGATTATGTGAATTGTACGGATCCATGAACCTCTGGCGTCCTGTAAGCCAGACCCATGGCCAGGAACAAGAGCTAAAAAGGCAGCAAGAGCAGAAGGGAGTGAACATTTTCCTGGAACACTCTCAGCACTTGTCTCTTTCTCCTGCATTTAAATATGAGACATTGTGAAATCGAAGTCTACGCAGCTATTTTTTTTTTTTCTTTTAGACTGACTTGGAATATCCTTATTAAAGGATCTATCCTCTAAAGAAAGAAACACAAGCTGGAAACCAGCATTCTCTTTTCTTTCATTAGTTAATGTATCAAAATCAAACCATTAACAATAATCATCGACAAGGAGAGTATTATTCAACTTTTAAAACAACATCCTCTGATTTTATTAAAATCTGCATTTCTGTTTTATTGACAATATGCAATAAATGGGACTTCTTTCTCAGCTGAACGAAATGTGTTTCTTTCTTTAGAGGATATATCCTTTAATAAGGATATTCCAAAACAGTCTAAAAGAAAAAAAATAGCTGTGTAGACTTCAATTTCACAATGTCTTGTATTTAAATGCAGGAGACAGGCTGTGCCAGGTGTTTTTAGTACAGGTGCTTTTCTAAACTGCTGCAGGGCTACTCCACCCTGCTCTACTTCAGCTACCACTGAGGCTTACACCTGATTAAGTGGGCTTGCTGGTGGTGTCTTGCAGCTGAGTATCTGCAGTGCTCAGCCCAGTCTTGGTGCAAGAGCTGATGGGACACAACGGTGGCAGGAAGCCCTTGCTCACTTCTTTTTCCAGTTTCAAAATTCTTAGCCCATTTTCGTTTGTATGGCTGCTTTGTGGGTGATAAATTCTAAAGAGAGCTTTGATCGTCTTGGTAAGGGCCTTCGATGTCATCTGTGAAGATGGAGATTTTCCCCATCTGGAGTGAGTGCAAAATTACTCAATGAATGTTTCTCCCCTTTAAAGACAGAAGCATATAGATCTGGAAACAAATCAATGTGCAGAAGACTAGCATCTTGGTTCAAAGTATGAGTCTGTGGACTTGGTCAAGTTCCTTAAACCTCAGTCTTTTCATCTTTTAAATGTGTGTAATATTTATCCCATTCAGTTGTTTTAGGGATTAGCTAAACTGTTATATTCAGATTGCTTAGGATTTCCTAGTGGATTTATAAGCACTCATCTCCTGTTACCTATTAAAAATGAAGACATAGTTATTTAAGTCTTGGTAACCTATAGATATGGTGTGAATTGATTGAGTAAATTTTACAGATGCTAAGAATGAAGTCATATTCTTTTCCTGTTGAATTTCAGATGTACTGGCGAAGAATTTTTGCTAAACCAGGGCATCGAGCTCTCCCCTTGGGGCCTGTGGAAGAATCACGTAGCCTTGGGATGCATGATTGTTATCTTCCTTACAATTGCCTACCTAAAATTGTTATTTCTTAAAAAATATTCTTAAATTCCTTTTTAATTTACATAATTGATTCACACATTAAAAAGGGAGCATCTTGATTTAAGTATTCAATGAAGTGTTTTTGTTGTCTTTTCATTTGGCATCATACTGTTGAGTAAGAATTGTTTTCAGCAGAAACATGCACAGGAACTGCGATGAACTGAATTACACATGAAAGAACCCAAGTCATAAATTAATGATATTATGAACTGCATATTAGTTCATCTAGTCATACAGTAACCACGGGGAGGCATTTGTTTAATTTATTGACCTAAAAGAGAATTGAATTCTAGGAACTTAAGACAAGTTATGAACATCTCTGGAATCAGTTTCCTCATCTTTAAATTGAGTAGAGGGTTCATTGCCCTCTAGCTCCAGTATTATATGAATCTATGATCTGCCACTATTTAATAAATAATAATAACAAATAGATGCATTGGTGGAAGTACGAAACATAAACTGTGTTGGAAAAACCCAGTATTATTTATAAGATCAAAAAAGCCATTATGAGAGAAAAGGCTTTGATGGGCCTTTTAAGGTTATTAGAACTTACTGAGATTCCTGTTGTAGAATCAGAACACCTCAGGGGGCTCTGTTGGCCTCTGGACTAGGTCTGGAGGGCCTGGAGTTCTTAGCCCTCCTGAGGTGGTTCGGTGGTCAGTGATCTGGGTGTGCATCAGAACCGCCTGGGGCACTTGGCTCAAATGCAGATGGCCCGGCCCCATGCGCCCTGCTGCATCAGCGGCTCCAGGGCTGCTCCAGAGAAAACTGTGCATGCCAGGACCTGGTAACTACCAAGATTCTTCCCGGCTCTGAAAACTTAGATTTATGATACTGTAACTCACATAACTGTTCCCAAACAGACTTTGTTCATTCCTATATATACATCTCTTATTCACAGATTTTCTCTTTGTTCTAACTTTTATCAGTACTAGGTATTAACTTCTTTTTTATTGAAGGGTAAGGCAAGGAAAAGTCTAGTTCAGGGAATTATCATAAAAGGAACACCCCAGTGCAACTACCAACCTAGGTGAAGAAACAGGACATGACCAGTACATGGAAGCCCCCTCGTGTTCCCTGCCCTATCACTACCTCCTTTCTGGGTTATTTCTGAAATGACTCTCATATACGCCTCTCTGTTGCCATTACCGCACATTGCTACAGCTGGGTTTTGTGTTCCTGTGTGCATAGATACATCCTTATTTAAGTCCCTTCTGGGGCAGCCCCCGTGGCTCAGCGGTTTGGGTGCCGCCTTCAGTCCAAGGCGTGATCCTGCAGACCCGGGATCAAGTCCCACATCGGGTTCCCTGCGTGGAGCCTGCTTCTCCCTCTGCCTCTCTCTTCTCTCTCTGTGTGTGTCTCTCATGAATAAATAAAATAAAATCTTAAAAAAAAAAGTCCCTTCTGCCCACTTTCAATGGAGTAACAATTTTGAATAGTTTTAGATTTATAGAAAAGTTACAAAGATAGTATGGAAAAGTTCCCATATACCCTCTGCCCAACTCTCCTTAATGTTAACATTTATATACCATGGTACATGTCAGAAGAAGAAATTAACCTCGGTACATTATCATTTAACTCTGTAAGTACTTTATTCAGATTTCACCACTTTTACACTAATATGCTTTGTTCCAGGATCCGTTTCAGGAGATCACATTGCAACTAATTCCCCTTTTTATAAAAGTAAACACTTTTCAGTATTATACAAATTAAGTGAGCCTGAGGATCACCAGTGTAGACTTGCAACTGCTTAAGAGTATCACTTAGTGTCAGTGGGTGCCCTGCCATAGTGTTGCAACATCAGTCCAGCATTATATTTTTAAGAAACTTTTTAAACGACATTTGATTAATGCATCATCTTGTAACATGTTATCACATGCTCTTTTTACCTGATTATTATGTGACCAGCAGGGTTAACAGTTTTTCCTGTTCTTGGTATATAACCCTCGCTTCCGTAAAGTTCCCTGTATATACACTTCTCTCATTATACAGAGAATTATATATATCTATATTTATTTTTTTTAATTTTTATTTATTTATGATAGTCACACACACAGAGAGAGAGAGGCAGAGACACAGGCAGAGGGAGAAGCAGCCTCCATGCACCAGGAGCCTGATGTGGGATTCAATCCCGGGTCTCCAGGATCGGGCCCTGGGCCAAAGGCAGGCGCCAAACCCCTGCGCCACCCAGGGATCCCTATATCTATATTTAAATACAAAATACACTTAAAGAAGAAACAAAACAAATAAATATATTAATGCCTACTTTTAAAATGAAAAAATTTAAATGCATCTTGCTATACTTATCCTTTTGTATTACAATATCCCTTTTTATATAATTGTTTTTAATTATTATGGTAAGAAATACATAACATAAAATTTGCCATCCACCATTTTTAAGGATCATTTTTAAAAGTATAGTAAATGTAAGCCCTATAAAGTAGAATATATTAATTATAGAAATTTACTTCGGACAATGCCTATATTCTTTTGAAGTTTGTTTTTATTTTCTTGGATGTCAGAAGAACTACTCTATAATGGAGAGGATAACTTAATTTGGTTTAAAATAAAAGACACCTGAGGAATAAATGAAAAGTGTTAGCTGCTACTTATATTCTTACCATTGCTCTCCTGGGGCTTTTACAGAAGAGTGCGGGAAGAGTTGCTGTGGAAGACTCCTTGGCATGTTGGGTGAGACAGCAAGAAAGGAAAGTGGGTGGCTTGAAGTGAACTGTTGAAGAGGCAGTGTATGTACTCATCTTTTTTCCATCTTAGAAGCCATTCTCATGGTCCTAGATATGGAACTGTATTAACCTCAAATATCTCAATATCTACATATATTTGAAAAGTAGCATTACTCATATTTATATGACATATTTAGGCCACCTCAGTACTTCCCCAATGGGCCTCAGATCAGACTAGGTGAGGTAACTGGGACAGATCACCAAGAGCTTGGGTTCTCACCAATGGTGATGTACTGGTGACTACTACGGATGCCTGAGCTGTTCACAGCAGGGCTGATGCTGAGTCGATAGGGATATGGTTCTGTCCTTTGAGGAGAGCAGCAGGCCACTTGGTGACAAGTTGATAATATGCAATAACTTTATGATTGTCCCAGAAATCTGTGAAGATCAGCGTCTTGGAGCACGCATCCTTCTGGAGGCATTAGCTTTGTAGAAATTCTGTACCTTGTGTTTTATTTTGCATTCCCTTGTGGAAGAACTGTACCGTGTTTTATGATAACTCTTGCTCTATTGTGTCTAAAGAATTTTGGCTGTAGCAGAATTATTAGAAAGTCAATGGCTTGAGAGTACTTCCAAGTCATTGCAGCATTAAAACCTGTCCAGCATCCACAGTAAAAAATAGATTTCATATTACAACCCATTGCTTGTGTGTGCAGAAATAATCCAAAAAAGTTTCATGTGGTGCATTTTGAAAGCTATTTTTGTAAATAGAGTTTGAGAAACTTTTATAGGTCCACCAGTCTAATAAAGTGAATATGTAATCAATAAATATTTTCAACATTATATAATTTTACATGCCCTCTATTTTTAGTATCCTAGTTTGATAAATTATATGGTATAAATTATATGGTAAGGAGGGATCCCTGGGTGGCTCAACAGTTTAGTGCCTGCCTTCGGCCCACGGTGTGATCCCGGAGTCCCGGGATCGAGTCCCACATCGGGCTCCCTGCATGGAGCCTGCTTCTCCCTCTGCCTGGGTCTCTGCCTCTCACTTTGTGTGTCTCTTGTGAATAAATAAATAAAATCTTTAAAAAAAATTATATGGTGGTAATATTGCTTTCCATACCTCAGAAACCATAAAGTTTAGGTAATTCTTGATACTTTTCATTTTATGTTTTTGGTTTTCATACTTCCTTACATTCTCCGAATTCCTTCTTGCATCAGCAAAATGAGAATTTCTTTTAGCTTAAACATTTTAAGTTACATGTTTGTTTATATTGAATTGTCCATTTTTCAAATAGCTTCAAGAAGAGCAGCCACCCCAACTTGACTTTTTCAACTTCCCCTATGTGCTTTGGTATAATCTTGTAATTTCTTTCATTTGAATTGTTACCAAAATAGTTTGAATCTTAGGTATGCAGATTTAGATTCAAAATTGATAAAATCAAGGAGGGCCACCTTCTTTCTGTGTGAAAGGTCAGCCTTTGACTTGTTCATCTGGTCAGTTTTAAGTATTTTCTTCTTACGTTTCGTTTTGGTTGGTAGAGGTAGGACCGAGCAGAATTCTTTATTCCCTATAGGCCAGGGACTGACAGATTTTATCTGTGAAGGGATCCAATAAATATTTCATAGTCTTTGCTTTTTTTTTTAAAACAACCTCTTAAAAATGTAAAAATCATTCTTGAAAAATGTAAAAACTATCCTTAGCTTGAGGCTAGACAACACAGGCTGCATGAGCCAGATTTGGCCTGCAGGCCATAGACTGCAGAGACCCTTGCTTTAGACAGTTATTGCTCCTGCTTCATGTGAAACCATACTTGAAATGTTGATGAACCAGATTTCTAAGAAATTTGCTGGTAATTTTACTAAGGTATTTTTTCGAGATATTATATTGAAGCCTTGTTTCTGCATAATAGAAACAAACACATTGCTTCCTAATACTTGACTCTCCCTTAAGAGATCTGGCTACCAGTTGAGATCAGGCCTCACTGGGTTTGTGGAAGAGCATGTTTTGCATGTTTAGGAATTGGATTTTTTTTTTCCAGTACATGGAAAAGGGGTGTTGTTATACTCTGAAGAATTAATCCACACAGCCATCCTCAGAAGGGGATTGGTAAGCCAGAGCCCTGATTCACTAATTTATTATTATTATTATTATTATTATTATTATTATTTTAGATTTTTATTTGACAGAGACAGAGTGAGAACCAGAGAGCATGAGCAAGGGAGAATGGCAGAGGGAGGAGAAGCAGGCTCCCCACTGAGCAGGGAGCCCCAAGATGCAGATGGGATCATGACCTGAGCTGAAGGCAGATGCTTAACCAATTGAGCCACTAATTCACTAATTCTGAATAAAGGAAGAATTATTTCTGATAGTGTTAAGATGTC